AGGTCGGGGGTTTGATTCCCAGTGGCAGCGGCTTAATCACATTCTGGTCACCCACATGTTTCCCGTAGTAGAACTCTTCCACACTCATCACCACCTTGGTGGGGTTGGATGGCGATGGCGATGGCGATGCTGACATGGTTGGAGCTGTGGTTGGAGATCAGACACAGGATGTCATGACTTTAACAGGTCTCTAAAGGCTGAGCTGGCTGATGTTAAGAACCAAACACAAACAGTACCAGTACTGATCGTTGGCTGATTTCCACTGCTGCTAATCACAGCCACTCTTGTGACTCCATTTGATGAAGATGGGGAAAGAGCTGGAGAACCTGCCAGCTTCAGAAAGTTAGTCCCGCTCACCTGGGACATTTGAAGGTTAGCTAAAGAAAAAACAACAACAAAAAAACACCAGATGAAGAATGAGTGGATCAATGGGTCAGTCAGTAACTGAGATCAGTGCTGTCAGAGGGACTGACGGGTTCCTGGTGTGCTGTTGTGGATGGTCAGCGTGGTTGGTAACTGCATGGCAGTGAAAGAAGATGGTGGGTGGGCGGAGCCTCCAGGGGGATTGCAGCCCACTCTGTTCTGACTCTGATTGAGGATGGAGGACACGCTTACATTCGGCCGCACCAGCTGACCCAGTGATGGCGCTGTGGGGACAGAAACATCCACGATTAGTTAATCCTGACTCATAATCAAAGAGTGACGACGGAGGCGGAGCTTACACTGAATCAAGGTGAGCGGCTGGACTGCTTGACCTGGCTGCAGGTTCAGAACTAGAGAAGTCCCTGGAAAACCCTGTAGAGGAGACAGGAAAGCATGACATCACAGTGACATCACAGAGGAGCCTGCTGACCAAAACAAAGGAAAAGTCAAACATCTGAGAACTGAAAATGATCAAATGAAAGCTGAGCTTAGTCAAAAGACAACCAAGATAAAGCCCAGAAAGAGCTAGCGGTTAGCAAATATTTTAGCAAATCATTTAACTTTTTAACTTTGAACCACCTCTAAACACAGCTGTGTCTCCCAGTGCCACCTGTGTGACCAACATACAACACAAAACCAGGATGAAGAGTTCTGTTAGGAAACTGGACGTGAATTTTCTAAAAGAAGACGTTTCACCTCTCATCCAAGAGGCTTCTGCAGTTCTAACTGGGGGAGGGGAGGACAGCAGATATATACTGTGGGTGGGAAAGAATAAAGCTACTTCAGCTCCACCCTGTTGGGTGGGTCCTTGGGGTCAACTGGGAAAGTGTAAACAGTTGTCAAGACTGTTTTCCAGTATTTTTCCTGGGGAACAGAACTCTTTAACGTTGACCATGACCTGGATGACAAGGCACACACCTACACTGTTCAGATGAGACCAGTACGTGACAGGAATTAATTAATTATACAGACACAGTGTAGAATGAATTAGAACAACAACTGGTTCGTCTCAGTGACTCAAGTACAACCAGAGGTACATCTCCCAACGTTTGAAAACACTATTCTAACATAAACTCTCACAGAGAACAACAACAGCGATGAACGGTATGTTCAAACATAACAGAAGAGTTCATGATTGTTTTAAACAGACTCTGGTTTTCGATTCCCAAACCCTAACCACTTCAAAATAAGACTTTCATCCATACAAAACATCACTGGTCTGATCGAATGAAGAAACCAACACTGCCATCTCGTGGTAGCTGTCAGAATTACTCACAAGCCCTGGTGTCCTCCTAAAGATATACAGAATGTAACTATGGGTTCAAACTCCGATGAGCCAAAATTGGTTTAAGGTCAGTGAGTGTGTGGAGGTAAGGCTTCACTGGCCTGAGAGTTAGACTTCATCTTTTTCTTCCTGGTGTACAAAAATAACTCTCTCTCAAAAACGTCCAGGTTGAGGTGAGAGGAACACTCTGGGTATTTCCTCAGATGAGAAACGATCCGGAGAAATATTTGTCCACACCCTCCGCACCTCACTGTGTCTCCTCTGCTCACAAACATCCGACCAAGGTCATCCTCAAATCTGAAACCCTTCACTTTTGTCATCTGGGTGAGACAGGGATGAAAAGCCAGTTAAGAGCGGCTGGTCGCAACCTACAACGTGGTCTGAGATTGTCCGAAATAGAAACCTTCCAAGGTCCAGTTCACGGTCATGAGTTAGAAGTCTAGATAACTCATCCAACTTTCCGGGGAGATAAAAACTGAGGATTAACATGACATTTGGTGTTCCAAATGTTCATCTTGAAAGCACTTCATAACAACCAACAAGAATTTCATCATAATCCAACAGAGAACAAGTACAATTATATTTATATGCTAACAGTAATGCATAAATGCTAACAATTGAGCTTGTACTGCTAACATTAGGTTCCCACAGAACATGTGTTATTAGTGAAAACACTGGTACCATATGCTGCTACATCCCATAATTCTTATAGTGCTTGTAGTTTCCTAGGCAACTACAACATCAGAGAATGCAGATGAAACCATTATGCTTCTGGTTCACATACCTGTGTGAGAAGAATGGGTTGGCTGCTGCCGGCCCCCGATGCTGCTGGGAGCAAAAACGTCCCACCTGCTGTCTGTGTAAAGATGAGGGGCTGGGCCTGGTTTATCACCGTTGGTCCCGAGATGGGAGGAGTCAGGGGGGCAGCGAGGTGTGTGACAGACGTGGTCACAGGAGCGGGGGGTGGAACCGGCCCAGAGGAGAAGGATGATGAGGACGAGACAGGGTGAGCAGGAGGTGAAGCTTTGGGAGGAAACGGAAGAAGATCTGAGTGTAAAAACAGCGGCGTCAAAACTTCACTCAACATGAGGAATTTGAAACATACACCGACACGTCTACCTGTGGGTGGAGAGCTGGGGGGCGGAGTTTCATAACCAGGAAGAGGAGATGAAGAGTCCTCTACTGCACAGAAACAAATATTTTTATATTATAAGTAATTCCAAAGAAATAAAAATCTGCGAATCTTAACACTCCTGACTGTGACTGTTTTGGCAATTCTGTCAACAGTCACCTTGGAATAAAAAATAAAACAGAAATTGTGTTGTTCCCACCTGGTTGTCCATAGCTGTCATCAAACCCGATCACGTCTTCCTCTACCTCATCATCCACCTGCTGCCATGGCTCCAGCTCCTCCTCCTCGCACTCCATAAACAGTTCCACATCCATGTTTCTTTGGAAGCCAGAAAGGTTTGTTAATCAATGCTGCTGCAGCCACTAGTACCAAGAACTAGGAGTAGTACAAAGTATAGTACTTGCTAGCAGTTGTTGGAAGTTTAATTTGAAAAATGTATTCCAATAACATAAGACTAGCTGGACATCAACGTAAACAACCGGCAACTGTTCTGGAATGCTAATCAAGGACTTCATTTTTAGCATATAAGACAAAATAAACCCTATAGATATTCTGTGGTTGGGTTTCAAACCGGCAATTTTACAAAGGTCAAAAGTAGCAGGCAGTCAGAAATATGGTAAATTTGCAGAACTGAATTGAATTTAACAAAAAATATGAAGTTGGACACAGAACAAATTGTAACAGACTTCCATAGTACAGCTTTGCACTTTAGAAGTAGTAATACATGTTCGGACTTTTATTTCAAAGTATGTAGGTTTTTTTATTCTGCGGTTTTGTGTGGAGCGGCGGCCACTGGGGGCGCTATTTCCTCTGTTTCTCTCCATTTTAAATGTGTTTTCCTTGAGCGCAGAAGCGATACTGCTGTCCGGGTGAAAGAAAAGTTTTAAAAAATATATATTCCGTGGTCAGTGATACCCCAGACCCAGACTGGCATCCTTTAGCTTAAGCATCTGCGGTGTGTTTGTTTCTTGCAGCACCGCCCCTCACAGGCAGACAAATGCAGCAGACAACACGCTTGATAAAAACAATTTCAATACTGCCGCAGGTGGTCACGTCCTACAGAACAGAACCGTCCTAGCCGGTCTTACCTGTAGCTTTGGGGCAAGACAGAGAAGCGGGGACTCCTCGGTTCGATTCTTCTTCTCCTTGCACGCTCTGATTCGGAGGAGGCAGGACTTCCGATACATGCTTCAATCAGAGTTACACTTTAACTTACTTGATTCGACGTCACTTCCTTGTGTGGCAGCTGCGCTTTATATTGGTCGGTGTAAATTTTCGCGGAAGCATCGAAATGAGGCCGTTTTGACGGGTTTTCAATTAGTTTGCAGTGAAATGACAAACGTCGACAGATATAACAGCGACTGCGTTTGCAATGAGCCAACTTGGCGGCGTAATTCTTTTTTGAAAACAGTACCCCAGGGGGACAAGACCACCATTTTGTTTTTTGTTATATGTTGCTGGGCGGGGCGCCACTTCCGACGTCACAACGAAAGGCAGAAAAAAGGCTGAAAATCTGCTAAATCTGAAAATATCAAACGCAAACAAATTTTAGAAATATGATTCCAACCGCTTATGGTCTTTTATTGGTTTGGTTGGATAGAAATTGCTCTTGTTTGTTTGTTTATTTGTTTTTATTAAAACAGCACAGACACTGGTGGCAGAGGCAGATCTAAAATGTATTTTATTCGAATGTCTGATGTGATTCTAAATAAAATGAAATTCAAGTTTTATTCATTTATGTGTGTAAAGCAACATCATGAACTTTTTATATCCTGGGAGGAGGAGAGGAATTCAGCCAACAACACTGATATGAGTGAGAGACCCTTAAGTGACCATTAAGTAACCCCAGTTCATACAACAATCCAGGTTTACCCTTCCTGGTTGGTCAACCTCCTCTAGAGATAAAAAACTTCCATATACCCCTAGTACTGTGGGCATACTTAAAATAAAAATATTTTGTAAAATAAAACTTATTTGCATTTTCAAAAAATCATAAAATATTACAAAAGCTATTTTAAAAAATCCAACAACTTCCCATTACATACATAATGTTGCATAATAATGTTTAACCATGTGTAAACCTGTTTTTTCCTTTGCTTTCCCCTGTTGCTGCTAATCTTTCTTGTGAACTGATCCCATAATCTGTCCTAATCTGTTCATTGACCCCACCCCCACCCTTCTGTCCCAGCTCAGCTCCATCACTCAGTTTGTTCAAACCTGCCAAAATGGTAGCTGCGGCGCCTGAAGAGTTCCTGATGCTGCCATTGTCCGACAGTGGTGGGGGGGTATCAAAGCCACAGGTGGTTCCTCTGGAGGAAGGACACGGAGCACTGCTGCTGAAGTGTGGAGCTGCTTTTGGTGTCACGTTGATCTGTAAGACCATACATCTGATTCATGATCTGTTTGTCATAATGTGTCATGTAACTGGAGTTTTTGAGGATGTGTCAGGTTGTTTTTAAGTCGGGTTGTTTGGGACATTGACTCACATTCTGCACTAACCAAAGGAATGCCACTTAAAACCACTTAGCCGTCCACACTAGAGCATGAAAAAACGTTTTCAGCCTGGCATTCACCAAAGAACTAGTTTCATAGTGGTTTGAAAGAGCGTTTAGAGAGAGGGTCTTTCTGAAGAAACCCAGGATGGGATTCATAATTTATTCATCCTAATACTATGTTTATGTCCTGTACATGCTACAGACTTGACAAACAAACCAAAATACATTTACATTTATGCATTTAGCAGACGCTTTCATACAAAGCAACTTACAGAGGAGGATTAGCTTTATTAGGACTCCCGGCTCTCTGCTTCTAAGGAAGGCGTGCTAACCGCTATACTGTGAAAGCACAATTTGAATTGTATTTTTGGTTCCACTCCCACTCTTTACATTTTGTTACTTTATGGCTAAAATATTCCACTAAAATTAATCTTAGTGTTTTTTCATATTCAATAAAGAGTTCAGTCCAGAGTTGATCTGACATGAAGAACGTTTCATGTTCCATTTTAAAAGTATCCATACAGCCACACTACATGTTGGTGTGTGTGTCTGCAGGTGTAGCAGTACTGAGGAAGTGGATCGCAGGTGGAGTTTGTCGATGCTCAGTTCGTCTGGACGGGAAAACAGTTGTGATCACAGGTGCCAACACAGGCATTGGTAAAGAGACGAGCAGGGAGATGGCCCGCAGAGGTGAGTGTGGCCCTGCAGGCTGATTACAGCGTTAACTACAGGGACACCTAGTGTCTGTTTGTGTCAGAACCTTTATTAGCTGACTTTGTGTTTGTCTGTCTACCAGGAGCCAGGGTAGTAATGGCCTGCAGAGACCTGACAAGGGCGGAGTCGGCCGCAGAAGAGATCCGTGAGGCAACAGGAAATGGAAACGTAGTGATCCGACACTTGGATCTGGCCTCGCTTCACTCAGTCAGACAGTTTGCTAAAGACTACGTAGACAGTGAAGACAGACTAGACATCCTTATTAACAATGCAGGTAAATCCTACTGTTACTGTCCACTGTCACCGCTGTGTTGACGCGTCTCACCAGTCTCTTCTCCAGGTGTCATGATGTGTCCGAAATGGCTGACGGAAGACGGTTTTGAAACTCAGCTAGCTGTCAATCATTTGGGTCACTTTTTGCTGACCAACCTGCTTCTTCCAAAACTCAAGAGCTCCGCCCCCAGCCGAGTAGTCAATGTGTCGTCCATAGCACACAGAGGGGGTATGACTGCTGCCTTCAAATTCTGTTTCTAGATTTTTTTTTTAACTTTCATAACAGAACGTCTCTTTATGAATGCAGGTCGTATTGACTTTGACGACCTGTTCTTCAGCACCGTACAGCTCACTGGAGAGCTACCAACAGAGTAAACTGGCCAACGTCCTCTTCTCCAGAGAACTGGCACGAAAACTTAGAGGTCCTGACACACACTTCATGTCAAGAACAAAAACAGACCAGAAACGTTTTAAACCCAACAGCTAAGTTTGAGCTTAAAAGTTAAAAATATTATAAATTATTCTCCCTAGACTGTGGAGGGTTCTTCCTCTGTCTCACCTACTAACTCACCCATTCACCCACTCACTGTATGGTACCTTGTCTACAGGCACTGGTGTGTCATCCTTCAGTCTCCATCCAGGGGTTATCCGTACAGAGTTGGGTCGTCATGTTCAGGGCTGGTTTCCCCTGTTGGGGGCGCTGTTGAGTCTTCCCTCTCTGCTGTTAATGAAGACACCCATTCAGGGGTGTCAGACCACACTGTACTGTGCCCTGACACCTGGTCTGGACCAGAAGACTGGTTCTTACTTCAGGTAGGAATGTCAGTTAGTATTGTAATATAATACTAATTAACTTATTAACACAAGTAACAGACAAATACACCTTAACCAGTAACGGTTTTTTGTGTATTTTCAGTGACTGTGCAGAGAAAGAAGCAGCACCAGAGGGCCGGGACGATGCAGTGGCAAAAAGGCTGTGGGACGAGAGCGCACGATTGGTTGGATTAAAAGACACCTGCTGATTTTCTGCAATTACTGTTTAGACACTGGCGCCCCCATCAGGTCAAAGGGAAGAAAGCCTTTGTTTATTTGTGTCTTTTGTATGACTATGGAAGGAAGGAAAGTGAACTACAGCACACCACCGTCCAAAGCCATAATTCACAAAATAAAATCATTCAGATTTTAAGACATTTTTGGTGTTTAAAATTGTGTTTTGAAAAAAACCAACAACAACAAATTTTAATAGTAAGACTTGAGGACGTTGTGAGACAAACCCTTATATTCTTCTCTATAGACATTGATGTGGGAGAGGAGATAGAGGTCCAGACAAGCTGCAAAGAACAACAATAGAAAATGGATATTACTAAAGACACTAAGGACTGAAGTCTTTGAACATAATGTAGGTTCTGAAGACAGTTTCAGTGTTGATTTATATCAGCTGAGTCTGCTTTTTATATTTCTAGCTGTAGCTGTGTTGGCAAGTGTGTTGTTACTGTCGTCGTCGTTGTTGTTGCTGCTGCGGTTAAAAGACAGGGTGGCAGTAGATAATCCTCAGTTCTGTCTGACCCAGTTGTTGGTCTGAAATAACAACTGAACCCGAGGCACACAAACACTGGTGAGATGTGTCCATCTGCGGCGCTGTAGTGCTGCCGAGGATCCGCTGAGCCAGCGGGGAGTCCTGAGGAGGAGGGGGAGGAGCAAGAGTAACCGGACACCGACTGACAGAATCCCAGGCGTCGACACAGAGTGAGGGTAGCAACGGGGACTGGAGCACAGACTTAGCGAGGAGGAGCAAGAGCAAGAGGAGAAGAAAAAAAATAGGAGCAGCCTCAGCCTCCTCTTGCCTCCTCTGTCTCTCCAGAGTATTTTTATTTTTTTATCCTCCCGACGAATAACGGAGTTCGGGTGAAGTTGTCCTTACCGGCCCGGAGCCGGCACCATGAAGAAGAACAGCGGAGGAAAGCAGAGGGTGAGTGAGAACCGAGCAGCAGCAGTGGAGAAGCACAGACAAGAACCGAGTTCTCCTGCTCCGTTAAAGTGGACTAAACAAAAGCGACATGGGAGTATTAATAAGTATGCTTTTACTGTGAAGAGACAACAACAGCAGTTGCTACTGCCATGACTGGGACAGGAAGATAGAAGCGCAACTTCCGTCCTTTTTCACAACAAGAGTCTAATTCAAGCGTACTAAAGGCTAAATTCATTCCTAAATTATATTATCAAAAGAAGTTACTATATTGGGTACAAGTATTCAGCACGGGTAGCACAAAATAGTAAAATATCTAACTGACATGAGTAAAATAAAATAAAACGATTCCCTCGAAAACAATAATCATTTATCATTTAAACATAATTAAATAGAACAGAAATAGCTTAAAGCTAGCCGAAAACACTTCAACTTTTGTAGTTCAATCGGAGAGACGATTCTTCAAAAAAACATAGTCAAAACAAAAAAAATCTAACAACGAAAATATAACATTTTTATATAAATATTTGATTAGTTAATAGTATGGAAGAAATTGCTAAATGTTAGCCTTAAGATGTTTTCGTTTGCGACAAAGTGCACCCAAAGTTTGCACTAGTTGTAACGTAAAAATCTGACGGTTTGTCTAAATGTAAATCTAAAGTCTTAATGAGACAAAAATGTAAGTTTTGTAAAAACATAAAGTCGAATAATCATAACCACAGTTACTCTAGAAATAGTAATCTTGAATAAAATAGTAAAAAAAAAAAGAAAGAAAAGCAAACAGCTGCCTGTCAGTGCGTCAGCAATGGGTTTTTTTTGTTTTGTTTACTGTTGCACTTTTTTCACACTTGTGCTCAGAAACAGATCTTAGCAGCACCTGTTTTTTTTTCCAGACGCTGGGAAAACCTGGCTTTTAAAGTGGTACTAATGTTGTTTGTTTACTTAATCACGTCACGCTTTTGTTCTGAAAGTCACCTCCATCTTTCCTATTACTTCTGCCTCATGGCCTCTTTGATAATCATATTGATAGTATTAATAATGATTAGGAGTGACTGTGCACAAGCGCCTTGTTGAGCACAGTGTGACTGGGAATGCAACCCAGGCTCCTGTCAACAAACGCTGGGGTCACAGTGAGGTCATTTACTTTGATCCAAATATAGTAAGAATTTTATAACATTAATTTCATTCACGACTGCCTTTGATTTAAATTGGTAATTGTTGGGATTGGAATACATATATTTTAATGAAGAATATTAATATTAATAATAATAATAAGTCACCTGACCTGTTTCCTGTTTTCCTATTGTTTAGGGTCCACAGGACACGGTGTCACAGAACCTGCAGCCTGATAAAGTTGGCTGGATCAGGAAGTTCTGTGGGAAGGGAATCTTCAGAGAGATCTGGAAGAACCGTGTTGTGGTTCTGCGAGGAGATCAGCTGTTCATCTGTGAGAAAGAGGTTAGTCAGCGAGGGTGCGGGGTGGGGGGTGGCAGCTGTGATATTCCCTCGGTTCTGTAGTAGTCGGTTCAGGTGTGTACACGTGGTCTGTAGTATTAGTAGTGTTTTTGGTTCTGGCTGGAAACAGAAAGTTTCTCCTCCACTTTCTGTAGGAGTCGAGTTTCAGTCTTTGCTGTGGACACACTCACAGCTCAGGTTTCACTGGTGCAGGACAGGAAGGTCCTGACAGAACCTCTGTCCATGAGAAAGTCCTGTCAGAACATTTATCAGACAGAATCCATGCCCGTATCCATGTCACTAACACACACTCACACAAAAGGACCATGGAAGAACGACCCTTTTGACTGAACCTGCATTGCACACAGAACATTCTGGAAGACCCTACTGTATATTTTATGCAGAACCACCCAACAGAGCCACAGTGACTGAGTCCATAACATTCAGCACCTAATCAATATCTCAACAGAACTGTTTGCATCAGGTGACGTCCCAGAATCCTTATTACACTCGTAGTTTACAAAGAACCTGAAGCACAAACAGAACGTCCCGACAGAACCAGCACTACACAGGGTCTATCACGGGGCGGTTTTTTCTGCTGTGCTGGTGATCAAGTGTTTTTACTCAGAACATTCACTATTGATTATTGATCATGTGACCAGTGATGCAGGCAGAGTGACGGCAACAGGAGGACGCCTAAGGCGCACACTGACCTCACTGTGTCGCCTGTGTTTGTGTGTGTGTGTGTGTTATGGGCACAGCAGCTTCTCTCCTCGGAAGTCTCAGTTTAAAGCTGTTTAAAAATGGATGCTGTTTCCATGACGATTAAAGAGCTGCAGTGTTATTTTTTGCGAGTGTGTGTGTCTGCTCATAGCGCCTTCACCTGGTGCACTCCCAACCAGTGCTTACACACTGTGGTGGGCAGACACTATTTGAATGGTCCTCATATTCAAATGTGGATTCAGTCTGCGCTCGTCAGCTCAGAGTCACAAACCCAGACATTCGATGAAAATCACTTGTTTTTCTATTTAAATTAATCAAAGCCGGTCATCCTTTCTTCTTCTTCTCTATTTGACTTGATTTGCATCATATGACCTTGAAGATGCAGCTGCTCTTGTACAAACAATTTGATTAAATGCGTACAACAACGTTTGGACTAAAGTCTTTAACCTTTAGAACATGGAACCTCTCAGTTACAGTAGAGTTCAGAACGATGTCCTAACAAGGAAAGAAAGGTCTGGAATAAGACCATATACAGAACATCAGTCACACACAGAACATCCCAGTAGAACCTTATCACATACACAACTTTAACTCCACTCTAGTGAAGATCCACTCTATCTGTAAGAGGAGGCGGGACTACAGACGTTCTCTGACCGTTGAACTGATCCCTCAGGTGAAAGATCTGGGCCGAGCGGAGGACGTGTTGGATTTGTGTGACTATGAACGCTGTGAGGAAGTTCGCAAAAACAAGAGTCGCAGCAAAAAGAGTCACAGCAAGTTCAGACTGCAGCGCTGCAGTTCTCCAGGAAACACGGTAACAATCCTGACTGACCGACCGTCCCGACACCTGAAGATCCCACCGAGATTCTAATGTGGCTCTATAAAAGAAGCTGAAAGTGTCTGTGTGTGTGTGTAGGTTCCTAACCTGCTCTTCCTGGCCGTCAGTCCACAAGAGAAAGAACTATGGATCAACGCTCTCAACGTCTCCATCACCAGGGCAAAGAACCGAATCCTGGACGAGGTCAGATCCTCACTGACATTTTACTGTTGGCTACCAAGCTAGCTGTGAGGCCAGAGCTACATGCTAACAATCTGTATTGCTAGCTTCTGTACTGACCTGAATGTACCCTGCTGGTGTCAGGGGGAACTGCAGCTTTTTTCCTAAACTCACATGTCTGTGTTGCAGGTGACAGTTGACGACTCGCAGCTGTTTCATTTGACTCGAGACCGAGCCAAGATTCCTCACAACCGACGATTGCCCACCAGAGGCCACCTGCTGGCTGTGGTCAGTATGACACTTAACCCCTTCAGTTATGCTTCCCTACTTGAAAATCCACCTCCTTCACATATTTATTTTCGGTCTTGTTCTCTTACTCCTCTATGACACTTAACCCCTTCAGTTATGCTCCCCTACTTGAAAATTTCTTTTTTCTATTATCCCTCTCCTCCATTATTTCCTCCTCTTCCACCTTGAATTTGACTATTTCTCCTCCTCCTGGTCCAGGCCTCCACCTCCTCTTCTGTTGGAACTCTGACTCTGGACCTGATCCAGGAGGAGGACGTTGTATCTCGTCATGAATTCCCGGTTGATGTCAGTCCTGAATCTCCGAGGTCAAAAGCTGACAACACTCTTTTCACCAAATCCACCAAGAATTCTGAGAAATCCCAGAGTCTGCCTCGTGACGTGGTGGTGGCCTGGGAATTGACACCACCGGAGAAGAACCGCTGCGCCTCCATGGAAGAGATTCCCTCTAATTCCGAGAGGAAAGCCACAATGATACCACGCCCCCAGGTACTGATGCCCCGCCCACAGGTGCCGGCCGTAGAGCAGCTGCAGGAGCTGATCAGTCAGAAACTGAGGAGGACGCAGGAGCTGCTGGAGGAGGTTCATGTGGAGCATCAGCAGAGGGAGGAAAACGAGGAGGAGGAGGAGAAGAAGAAGAAGCTGACTGAAGTGGAGCGGCTCCTGAAGGAGGCGGCCGCCTCCTGGAGTCAGGCTCAGGAGGTCCTGGAGGAGGTAAAGGAGCTGAGGTCACTTTATAACAAACTGGACTCGTCCAACGCCTCCTCTTCCATCACTCCTCCGTCCAACAGCAGCAAACTGAAACCAGAATCCAAGAACCCAGTGGGATGAGGAGGTGGGGCCCAGTTTGACCTGGGTCAGGGGTCGGTCCAAAATTCAGAAGGAACCACTTTTTTATTTATTTGTTAAAGTTGGTGTTAAGAAGCCAACAGAGGAAGAGACAAAGCCCAGAGACCCTCGTGACTTTGGAGGGTTTTTAAAGATGGTATCAACCACTGGTTCTGGGTCCAGTCTGTTGACCATGAACAAGAAAATATATTTTTAAGCTTTTAAACAAGCAGCTGTTTAAGCCTTTGGACTTTTGTTTAAGGCCAAGTCTCTTTTGTTTTTTTACTGAAATTTTTGTCTTGTGGGACAGTACAAGCCGTCCAATCACAGGTGTCCTACTGTTCACAGGTTCAGGACAGACCTGAAACTAGTGACAGAACAGAAAGATCTTTACTGGTGTTAAACCAGAGACTGGATTTGACCACAGATGAACATCCACACCAGCAGAGGGAGTGTGACATCAATGTAGCATCATTTTATTATTGTGAGGAGTTTCTTAGAGTACCACAAGATCAGTGTCCGTAATCTTTGTGGAACCAAAGAGTACCTGAACTTCCTGTCGGCTCCATCAGTCCTGAGTCTTCTTGTTCCTAGACAACAGTTCTATAAAAGTTTTTTAGTTTTAGGCGAAATGCAGTACAGACAGATTTTCCACCAATCAGGAACCTGTGTGTGCTGCAAGTACCGGTACTTCCCATTAATCCTACCTCTGACGTCCTACTTCTTTCAGTTCCTGGTCCCTGACACAGACTCTGTGTCTGTTGTGTCTAGTACTGGCTGTAGTCACTGCTACAGTTTAAACCCAGATAAACCCCTGGTACTGTCTTTATCCCAGTTTATGTTCCTTTAGTTAAAGCAAACACACACACTCGAAAATCCTGGGATTATGTCTGGATTATGGTACTAGCTGCTGTATTAGAAATGCACACAGCGACTTGTACTTTCTACTGTATCTTTGAAAGAAGTTTACACAGTTCTTGGTTTTTATATATCGGTACTAGTTCCTGGTCATAGAGGCCCATGGTCCTGGTACTATCTGTTGTTACTATGATAGTTGTGCACAGTAACTGGTACTTCATCAAGTTGTTAGAGGAAGTTTCTGTGATGTCACAGACAACAGTCCTTTCACCTGGTCAATAATGGAACCACAGTCTGTTCCTGTTACCGATCAATAGAACTGGTGGAATCGGTCCTGTTTTAAATTTGACTTTTTTTGTAACAGGCTGCTCATTTCACTGGACTGTCTTTTTTTTTTTTTTAATTTTAGTCTCACACAGTTCCGGGTGTCACAGCTAGAATTCATGATGAAATGTTTTTGTCTCCCATCAACAATCAATCATCAATAAACTTCAGTTGGACTTTTCGGTGAAAAAAAAAAGTTTTATAATTAGAAGTGTTGTCTGATGGAACTGTTTGTCCTGTGACAGAAATGAAAACGACAGCATCGTCACTCACACACACACACACACACACACAAAACTGACTGTGCAGACACTGGAGCTCGGCCCCTGCATGTCCATATAAGGACAACATGTGTTTGTGTCTTAGATTGAATGACAGCAGCTGATGAGTTGTGTGTCTTACACTCACACACACACACGTTGACACACACTGCTAAAAACTTTGTCTCAGGAATATTTGAACAAAAATAACAAACAATTCTCTGAAAAACAGATTACTTTATCTACTTCTACTTAGCTTCGTTTGCTACATTTGCGGCTAACTTTTAGCTACTTTTAATGATGGTAAACAACTGTGGTTGATTTCTTTCACTGTCACAATCATAGTAACACCATCACTGACAGAGTCACTGACTGAAGGAATGAATCATTGGTCCATTTACAGAACAGTTTATTGAGCTGTTCTTTCAACAAACGCGCCCCCTGCAGGACAGTTTAGTCTTTGATAGGATCAGTTTTGATCCTCACTTAGATAAACATTTACAACAAACACACCAATAGTTAAAAAAAACACATATAAAACCTGGACTTACAGTCACACAAATATAAAACCATTAAAAGCTGGACTTGTTCTAAAACCACAGTAAAATGCTGGTGACACTTGCACTGATCTTCACACGTGTGTGTTGGACGGTGTGTGTGTGTTAGTAAACGGCTTCGTCCATGTTGTCGTCACTGTCTCCCCCAAACTCTTCTCCATTGTCAAAGTAGGACATGATGTAATCCGTCTCCTGTGGACCATCAGAGAAGTCAATGAGTAAAGATCAGGATCAGTACCACGTGATCAGAACTGTTAGTAATCCTGGTGGTCCTCACCTCCTCAAACTCATCTTCATCAAACTCTTCTTCTTCCTCCACCTCCTCCTCTTCCTCCTTCTTCTTCTTCTCCTCCCCCTCATCCTCCTCAGAGCTGGCCTGCTCCTCCTTCTTCTCCAGTGTCTGAAACGGAGACACAAGAGCCACTGGTAAAAACCTGACAGATTAACCACCAGGGGGCGACTCCAGGCCCATTGTTTTAAAGTGTACACGTTTGTTCATGTAATTTAGAGTTAGAAATGTGTTGAGACTAACACGAGAGCTCACCTCCAGTCTGAGCAGAACTTCTTTCTCCTTCACCACCTCCTTCTTCTTCTTCTTCTTCTTCTCCTGTCCACTCTCAGCACTGACAGAGACAGCGAGTGAGACGCCTGAGGACAGGACACATTAATCTGTGTAAACATGTCATTCTGATTGAAGACCGTTAGCATATTAATCTGACTCAGTGTGTTAATCTGGCTAACGCGGCGGTCGTGTAAATGTACTGTAGTTAGTATCAGATTACCACGAGCTAACAGTTCTCTGTACAGATCACTGACTGTGTGTCAAGTTACTGCACATCATCATCAATACTCATGGGTACTGACCTTTTCTGGGGGGGTTTCTGACCAGGACTCTGACTTCTCTGGGAAACCTCTTCCAGTCTGAAACCAGAACCAGAATCACTCAACCTCCGTCTCCTCTGTCAACTAAACAACCAATCAACCAACGATGAGGGTTGATCAAAATAACCTCACCTTGATTCCAGTCCATCAGATTGTCAGTCTGTTCACTGAGGTGGTATTTATCTGAATATCTCTCCACATCTGGACAGAAAAACAGAAAAACAAAAACTCAAACTAAGAATGTGAAAAATAATGTTTAACCAGGCTTTCAAAGTAAAATCATAAGATGGAGAATTCACAATTAAATCATTACATTACAATACATTTAGCAGATGCATTCAAGGTACAGTAAACACACAAAATACTAAAATACATAGATAATAATAAATCATAAGGATACTAGGTATAATATGGTAGTAATTCATAGATGTGAAAAACAGACTCTTTCACAATAAAACTTGCAATAAATCAAACAAAAAATACTCCTCCAGTAAATGTGGTGTGTGTGTTTGTTTGTGTGTGTTGTGTTACCTCTGACCTCTTTTCGGACGAGCTGGTTGGATGAAGAAGGGCAGGCTCTTCATGGCTCCTCTGAACTCCTGCTTGAGCGCTAATAAATACTCTGCTTCCTCCCCACCTGTGAGGGGGAGTGGCTTATGCTCCATCGCCTAGACAAAGACACAAATGTACAGAGTTGACTACGTGACCCACAATGCACTAGGATCAAACCTCCTCAGGAATGTCACACTGAGGTTCTTACCGGGAACACAGGTGTGGGCTGCTGTATGGATGGAGGCAACCCCTCTCCTCTGTTGACGGCCACGGGGTCAACGTTGAAGGACATTGCCCTGCGACCACGACCACGACCCGCCATCGCTGCTGCTTATCAGACTGGATCAGACCGGATCAGAGGGAACCTGCTGCACCAGGAACAAGAGTCGGGGTCCAGGTCCTAACAGAGATATAGATCAGAGATAATTATTATTATCCGATATGATGTCATCTCATCCATCCAATTTCCCTCCCTCTATCCTTCCTCCTTTAATTCTTTGTTTTTTTACTTACTTCATTCATTCATTTTCTCTCTCTAAATTCTTCTGTTTGTTCCTTTCTTCAGATATCCCTGCTCCTTTTTATCTTCAGTTCGTTTCTTTATCATTCTTCCGTTATCTACCTTTTTACCTTATGGAATTTCTTTTCTTAATTCCTTCATCTTTTCATACAGTCGTACTACCAACCTCTACTTTAAATACAAGAGCTCTGAGCAAACACAAATATAATAAAGATTTATGGTAATTATATACAAATATAACTATATATATAAATAACCCATATAACTATGTAATTATCTATAACAAACTTTATTTAACTTCTACTTAGACTTTGTTTTTTTACTTACTTCATTCATTTTCTCTCTCTAACTTCTTCTGTTTGTTCCTTTCTTCAGATATCCCTGCTCCTTTCTATCGTTTCTTTATCATTCTTCCGTTTTCCTTTTTTTTCCTTATGGAATTTTTTCTTAATTCCTTCATCTTTTCATACAGTCGTACTACCAACCTCTACTTTAAATACAAGAGCTCTAGCAAACACAAATGTAATAAAGATTTATGGTAATTATATACAAATATAACTATATATATAAATAACCCATATAACTATGCCATTATCTATAACAAACTTATTTACTTATTTAACTTCTACTGATGAACTTTTCAAACTTAAGGTTTGCAGCTAGTCGAGGTGGTGCTAACTGATGCTAACATGTGTCTATGTAAATAGCGTTAGCTCATTGTATCAGCAGCGGTTATTCAACAGCGTCAGTCGCAACTACGTCGTTTTCAGTCAGTTCTTCCTTTACCTTCAATCTCTTTCCTGCAGACGAACCTGTTACTTCTCATGGGGACTCGTTTTTTTTTTCCTCAACGGCACATCCTCAGGAGAACATCTTTGTTTACACTCACTTCCGCCTTCGCTTCTTCTATGGCCAACGTTGTCGCCGTTACATCTTCTTCTGTGGATTGTAGTTTCTTTACTATACCGCCCTCTACTGCCCGAGCTGTATATTGCGTCACAGGACCCTATCAACTCACCTCAGACTCGACCTTTCTCAGTCTCCGCCTCATCTCCGTCAGACTCCACCCCTACTGTCAGTCATTCAGTGGAGCTTCAGATTTGGATTCAGATCCTAACAGGGCATCAAAGAAGAGGGAGACACGGGAGCTGAGGAGGAGGAGAAGAGGTGAAGGTAGAAAAGAGTGAAGAAAAAAAAAAAGAAGAAAATCAGGATTAAAAACAGAAGATTGAGGATAAACCAGTAATGATTTGGATTTAATACAACACTGAACACTGAGAAACAGAACCAGGAAGATGATGATGAAGATGATGATTCTCCTCTTCTTCTGCTCAGGTTTGACTGTTTTCTACTGATTACTGACTCATTATTCCAAATGTTAGTGTTTTATCTGCAGTGAATTTCACTGATCACGTGTCAAATGTTCTGCTAGAAAAGAAAATAATCAAATTTGATTCAATTATTTAATTTATTTTCATAAAGTAAATATGTTATATTTGTTCATATCATTCATATAATTGATGTTCATAATACATTTCTTCATAAGGAAAATAAAAGTTTTTTGAACAAGTATTTCTTCAAAACATATTTTATATGTATATTTATGTTTCTATGATAATCGTTTAAAAACATGAAAAGTTTTACTTTATTTGTCATATACTACTTTATTTTAGTTTTATTGTTTTCTCAACTAAATTATTTAACTGAGTTTTATTAAATTATTTAATTTTATTTAAAAGTATTTTTCTCTCACATTGAAATTTCTCAGATTTAAAAATCTGATCAAATCAATGTTTTAAAAGTTTGAACAAAATGTTTTCCCTTCTGGTGTTCCACTTCCATGTCAGTATTGTTTTATGCTTTTTATATAAGTGCTATATATATATGTATTTATATATAAATATAGTGTGTGTGTGTGTGTGTCATTGTCACCACAATCACCGTGAAAGTCACGTTCACGGCCACAGTCAGGGCTACGACAATATGCTACAGAGAGACAGAGGGAGAGGTCAGACTCTCATGACCTTTAGGAGCTGGGGGGGGATTTGGAGAGGATTTGGGGGTTCAGGGTCAGGTTCAGGTTCAGGGTCAAGGAAGGGGGGGGGCAGTGTCTGCTGCTCTGATTTAAATGTCTCCTCCTCCCTCTTTTATTCACCATTTTATAATGAGATCACAGATGGAAGACGAGAGATTTTGGCCCAAACTTTTTCACACTCATCAGACCGATGATAAAAACCAGAGACATATTCTCTGCTCTTGGTTTTGGTCCACAGTGATGAGTTGTGTTAGCAGTAGTTTCTTTCAGTCTTCTATGATCATCTTGATCATCTGAGTCCGTCAGAGTCCAGAACAACGACGGTTCTCCTCAGGTTGTTCTTGGTTTTAGGTCTGAAGACGTCAGCGTCTGTGAATTTGTTGGATTAGGAATGAAACTTTGTTTCCCCTGAAAATAAACACATTTACTTCAGTCCGTTGAGAAAATGTGTGATTTTAGCGAACAGTGATACGTGATTTGTCGGTCCTCTACCACCTCCTGTGGTCAGTTTAGGTCACTGAACTGCCAAGTCATTCTAAACTAAAATCCCTGGTTTTGGTTCTCCGGTGACAGACGAAGTTGTTTACAAACATTACTGTTAATTGACCAGAGTGGGATGAAGACGTCAACATGTGGTCTGTGGCCCAGAATCTGTACATTACAGGATTCTGCATCAGAGAGTGTGTGTGTGTGTGTGTGTTTTAAAATAGCGAATTTAATAGATGCCACATTTGGGTGAATATACAGCTTTTAAACTGTGCCAAATTACAAGATTTTACCTTTTGGGGGGGGCAGGGTGGGAGTGAGGATGAATTTCATGGTTTTGGAGTATTTTGGGGAATGGGGTCGGGGTGAGGTGGGGTCAGGGTGAGGCGGGGTCTGGCTGTGAATGGTGTCTGTTATCCCACGTTTTTTGTTTGCCATTGATACCACATGAGGTTCAGACTCGGCATGAGGTGTGGGGTCTGCAGCTCCAGACATCAGGGGTCTGGTCCTCACAGACTGGAGGGAGGGGCTGTGACATCATCCACTGTGATACGGGGTGGAGGGAGGGCTGCAGGTTTAATCATCATCATCATCATCATCATCATCATCTGGACTCAGTGATGTTTGTCATCAACATTTGTTCATTTATGAATTTGTTAAGTTTTGATTTTGTTACTGATTAATTTATCACTTTCTACTACTAGTACTAGTAGTACTAGTAAGTACTATAAACATATGCTTCAGTACTTCTCTAATACCGGTTTAAAAATCTATCACAGACTCAGTACCCGCTCTCCTTCCCTCCATCAGTACTGTGATGAAAGTCTGGAGTACTTTCAGAGTACTAAGTACTACAGTATCTCTGATACGTCGTACTTGTCTGTCCCTTCCAGGTGTGAGCGCAGCCTCAGAACTCGCCTTCATAAAGGAACCCAATGACGTCATCGCGGTGAGAGATCGCCCGCTAATGCTGGACTGTCAGGTGGAGGGGGAGGGGCCTATCTCAATCACCTGGAGGAGGAACGGCGTCCCCGTTGAGACCGGACGCAGAGCCGCCGTGCTGGCCAACGGAACGTTGCTCATCCGGAACTTCTCCAAGAGACGCGAGAGCAACGAGACTGACGCGGGCGAATACGACTGCGCCGCACAGAACCGTTACGGCATGTTGATTAGCCGCAAGGCTCGAGTCCAGCTAGCATGTGAGTGCGAGCGCTGCCCGTGTACATGTGTCCGTGGTGTCACGTCACGTGACCGGACGTTGCTCTAACATACGTATCATCTGGTCACAGCTCTGCCCAAGTTCCTGTCCCACCCGCAGTCCGTGACTGTAGACGAAGGGGGCGTGGCCAGACTCACCTGTCAGGTAAACGGGATCCCTGAGGCCAACATCACCTGGCAACGAGACCGACGCCCACTGACCACGGACGACCCCAGGTCTGTGTTTGAAAAACAGTTGATCACTTAATAAATTGACTGAACAATCGAATAATCATTTATACGAGAATATTAATAATGTTTGTTTTTTATCACAAACTCAAACTTCTTACTTACTGAAGCCTTACTGTTTCTTCTTCTCCTGCAGATACACCCTGCTGCCACACGGTGTCCTACAAATCACCAGTGTTCAGCGAACAGACGCGGGTTTGTTTCGCTGCATGGCCTCAAACATGGCCAACACTCGATACAGTGACGAGGCCCAGCTGTCAGTCACAGGTAAGAGCGCGGAGGAACAACCTGGAAGATCAGACTCAGGTCAGAAATGATGAGGTCAGAAAAAAAAAACCAGGATCTCAGACCAGCGATCTGATGTCGGCCTCTGTTTCTCTGCTACAGTGGCAGGATCCAGGATCTACCGTGAGCCCGTGATCTTGTCTGGACCTCAGAACCTCACCATCACTGTGCACCAGACGGCCATCTTGGAGTGCATCGCCACAGGAAACCCCCGTCCAATCGTGTCCTGGAGTCGCCTAGGTAACGGTTTCACCGCAGACTTCCTGTTAGTGACGAACAGAGTCAGATTGAAGTAGAACAGACAGAGCTGTGTTTGTCAGTGATAATCAGCGGTCAACAGACCTGGGTTCAGCCGAACGAAGATGACCCCTGACCTGTGTTTGGTTCCCTCAGATGGACGCTCCATCGGCGTGGAGGGGATCCAGGTCCTGGGAACAGGAAACCTGATGATCTCTGATGCCACTCTTCAACATTCTGGAGTTTACGTTTGTTCTGCCAACAGACCGGGCAGCCGTGCCAGGAGGACGGCACTGGGACGACTGGTGGTGCAAGGTGATGACATCACACATGACATAACACCTTAGACAAACCTGCAGATGCTGAGGTAGAGATGACATCACACATGACATAACACCTTAGGCAAACCTGCAGATGCTGAGCTTGTTAGGTAGAGAGAAGATGATGATGAAGATGATGATGATGAAGGTGATGAAGCTGATGAAGATGGTGATGATGATGATGAAGCTGATGAAGATGGTGATGATGATGATGAAGCTGATGAAGATGGTGATGATGATGATGAAGCTGATGAAGATGGTGATGATGGTGATGGTGAGAATTCAGGACTCTTTTCCTGGGTCTTATTGAAGGACTTTCAAGGTCCTTTTTTCAAACTTTTCAAGTACCTCACAGCTAAGAAGTAAAATAACATTTAAAAGTAAATGTCGTGATTGTTTGGTGATTGTTTGTCACCCAATCATCAACCTTCAGCACGTTCTCTTTACAGAGAGTTCCTTCCTGGTCTAAGTTAGTTAGCGTAGTTAGTCACATTAGTTATTATGGTTAGGTTAGGTTAGTTAGTCTGGTTAATATTATTAAAGTAACAGTCTTTACTTTTCGTCTTTTAAACACAATATCTAAACTTCAGCTCTGCTGTTCCTGCTGCCTATAAGTGTGTAAACACACACACTCACTCTCTCACTCTCTCGCCCTCACACACACTTCACAGTGAGTTTGCTCTCACTCTTCACCTCTGACCTCGGGGCTTCAAGAAATCAAATTTGTGATTTTATTTTTAAGCGGGGGAAAATGATAAATCAGACGAGCAGCTGAGAGTCACCTGACCTCTGACCTCATCACTGATGCGTGCAGGGGGAGGAGCTCCAGCTGCAGCGGGTCAGAGGTCAAACAGGCTTCATTGTGTGTTTGTTTCCCAGACTGAGCTTCATTAGAATATGGATTAACATGAGAAGAGAGACAAACACTTCAGACTGATGAATATGTTGTTCACACACACACACACACACACACACAGCAGAACACTGAGGCCGTGTCTCTCTGTCTTTTGTGTTGTGTGCTGCCCTTCTGTCAACACTGACCTAAAAACTGAGTCTAATGAGGAGAAATATAAAACATCTGCTCAGTCTGAAGACAAAACCTTCACAGTGACGTCAGTAAAAGTAAAAGACGAGGAATGAAAGTCTACAAACAACAACTGACGCTAAATGAGGTCCAAATAGTTAAAAAGTAAGAAATATCAGGCTGTAATTTGACTACAGGTTTGGTGAAAAAAAAATATAGAAAGTTAGATGAATAAAATTATATATATTTCATATGTTCCTTTACAAAGTGATACACAGAAATAATCAGGCTGTAATTTGACTACAGGTTTGGTAAAAAAAAAATATAGAAAGTTAGCTGAATAAATATATATATATTTCATAAGTTTCTTTTACGAAGTGATACACAGAAATAAGTAGAAGTAAATCCAAAATATGTAAAATAAAAAAATATAAATAAAACCATAGAATATCCAAAGGTTTTCCACAAATCGTTATTGAAGATTTATGAGATTTTATCACTGAGTCCAGCACCAGTCAAAAAAAAAAATCAAAAATAATGAAGATAACAACAACATCTCACTCTGCGTGTGTGTGTGTGTGTGAATCATGTGTGTATTTTGCTCTTGAACATGACATGTTGAAGGAGGTCAACTCACACCCGCGATGGATGTGTGTGTGTGTGTGTGTGTGTGTCGTCTGGTCTCACGTCACCCTCACGTCCCTGTTAATGACTCCCCCTCCTTCTGCTCCTCTTCACCCTGTCTCCCCTCTGACCTCTGACCTCACACACATACAGATTCAGATGAAGAGGGTGGAGCCTGAGGACTGAGGTCCTGTGGGGACACATGCGTGTGCTCTGTCCCTCTGTGACCGTGGAGACGGAGTGTGTGTGTGTGTGAGGCGAGACAGCACCTGCCTGTCTGCTGGAGAGGATGTGTGTGTGTGTGTGTGTGTGTGTGAGATTAATAGAGTGAGAGAGGTCAGAGGTCAGTTCAAGTTCACATAAGTTGAATTTCTTTGTCTCATGACACAGATGATTGTTTACCACTGCCCTCTGCTGGACAGCTGAGGACTCCTGCAGTAGTGTGGCAGACAAGAGTGGTTTTATGACGTCTGCACAGCCATGTTAACATGATCATAAAAACAACAACAAACGGATGTTTTACTCTAAGTTTTTATCTTTTAGAAGATAATATACCAAACATTCTTTTTACTTTACTATCTTTTAGAAGATAATATACCAAACATTCTTTTTACTATCAATTAGAATAATAATCTCTAATAATCTCTCTATCTTCACATGTCCCTGTCTCCCTGCAGCTCCTCCAGAGTTTGTGCAGTGGCCGCAGTCTGTCTCCAGACCAACAGGGGGCAGTGCTGTGTTCAGCTGCACAGCCACAGGCGTCCCTGAACCTCACCTCATCTGGCTGAAGAACGGCAAACTGCTGACACCTAGTGGAAATGTCAAACTCACCAACGCCAACACGTACGACCCAGCAGAAAAGAACTACGGTTTCTGATGTCAGACAGATGACATCATTGGTGACATCATAACATCTATTTATTTATTTTTCTCTCTGCAGGACACTCGCCATCACTCGCATCACAGCCAACGACGAGGCCATCTACCAGTGCATCGCTGAAAACAGCGCCGGCACCAACCAGGCCAGCGCTCGACTGGCCATCAGCCAGGGGCCCGAGCTACCCGAGGCCCCGGAAGGCGTCCGGGCCACGCCCCTCAGCTTCAGCAGCCTACGACTGAGCTGGGACACACCCACAGAGAGCGGTGGCCAGCATATTATCGGATATGTCCTGCACATAAGACGACTGGGAGGTGAGACAGCTCTGACAATATTATCAGTTGGTCCAGTCACCATCGACCAATCACAGTCCAGGACTGATGATCTGAACACCTCCAGCATCAGAATACTTTGATTCTTATTCTGACGGATTAAAAACAAACTTCATCAGATATATTTCAGGTGTTCTTTCATCCAGACAAATATTTAGACACTTCAAAATATCTCTTGAGGTCACTGTCCAGTCGGTAACCTCACTCACGACCTCTGACCTGTGTGATCTCAGAGCCTGACAGTGCGGAGCTGCAGGAGGCGGTCAGTAAATCCACCTTCTCACACGACTTCAACAACCTGGAGGCAGCGACCACGTACTCCATCTACCTGAAGGCCTACTCTGCTGAGGGTGGCAGTCGGAGCTCCGCCCCCGTCATCACAACCACCAAGGGAGGAGGTGAGTCCGCCCAGACGTCATGACCTCTCACCTGTTCGCCGACCACTAACACGTTTGTCTGTCCGTGCGCCTCAGTGCCGACTCCTCCCAGTTTCTTCACCAAGGTTCTGAACCAGACAGCGATGCAGGTTTACTGGGACCTTCCCTCTAAACCGGGACAGCTGGAAGGCTTCCGACTGGAATACCGTGGCGTTTCCAACCCCAACATCCAGGGACAGGAAACGTTTCCGGGACACATCAACACACACACCATCTCCCACCTGGGTCAGTACCACAGGATGAATCATGTCAGATACCAATACTGGCTGACATGTCGTCCAGTTTGTCAGTGTTTGTGCTAAGCTAGGCTAGGCTAACCTGAGGATGTTTCCTGTTAACAGAACCCGCCACTGTCTACGAGATCCTGCTGGTGGCGTTCAACGGAAACGGAGACAGTGTGTCCAACCGCCGTCTGGTGTCTCTGGCAGACCAAGGGAAGAGCGCAGCAGGTGGGAACTCTGACCTTTGACCCCACCCTGTCCTCTAAATGACCCCACTGACCCTGTCTCTGTTTCTCAGCTGGTGCCACTTGTAACTGTAACCAGTCGGATGGTTCGATGTCCACTGTCCTGGTGGGCGTTCACAGTGGTCTGGCCTGCATCCTGTGCTGCCTGCTCTTCATCCTGCTGGGCTACAGACGAAGGTCAGAACCTCAGCATCGTGGTCATCGTCACCATCATAGTCATTTACATCCCCATCACTGACATCATCATCACCTGCTCTTCATCCAGCAGGGTCACAGAAGGTCCATCACCTGCTCTTCATCCAGCAGGGTCGCAGAAGGTCAGAACCTCATCACCATCATCATAATTATCAACGTGATGATGTCAGGGATAACTGGTGTCACCATCATCGTGTCCTCCATGACATCATCAACATCATCATCATCATCGTCGCCTACTGTTCATTCTGTAGAACTACCTCGTCACTCTTGTCATTCTCATCATCATCATCATCAGTGACATCATCAGTGACATCACCTGTTGTTTCCACAGCTTGTTCTGTAGAAAAGCAGCAAACTGGGAGGCTCCGCCCATTAATGGTGTCAGAGGTCATAAAGGTCATGTATCTGAGAGCATCGAACTGAACCAGGTAACACACACACACACACACACACATACATACACACACACACAGCTAGTCAAATTCACTGACCAACCGTTTCTGTTCCACTCACAGAGATGTGACTCCGCCCCTCCTCCTGTGATGGTCATGGTGGAGCCGAACTCGCCTGTCCAATCAGGCACTGGATAAACCCTCAGAGCTCCGCCTCCTCCCCCGCCCCCCCGCTCCTTAGCTCTAGCTGACGTCTGCTCCTCTGCTCCTGATGATGATGAAAATGTCTGAAACCAAAGTTCAGTTCTTCTGCTGCCGTCGTTACACGAACACAAGTCACATGATCACGTTTGACCTCTTGACACTTCCTGTTGAAACCAAAACAGTTTTACTCACCGTCTGTGCTGAACAAGGACCAGGTCCCGACCTTTTCAGATCCACCTGAGGGGGCGCTGGTCCCTCCTCTGAGGACCCCGCCTCAGCTCACCTGGGTCTGCAGAGGTCACGGACCCTGCTTTATCCTGTTCACTGGTCACTTGTGGTCAGGATGTAGAGGACACGGAGCGTCAGCTAGTCGCCCCACCCACGTCACCACCTCCAAAGAGAGATACCTCCGCTGCTGGTCACCGACCCGAACCAAAAGGCTCCTCTGGGCCACGTTGCCATTTTTTTTCTACCTCGAGTGCCAATGCTAACGCCATGACCCCGCCCTCCTGATCCCGCCCCCCTGACTGAGCTTTGAGTGTGTTTGAGTGTTGAACCAATGAGCTGCTGCAGGTCACATGACCTCCGGGACAGACGTGTCCCCAGTCTGTTGGACAGTTTGAGAATGAAGGGATGGAAGAGTGCCCCTGCTGGTCGTCGGATTGCTTTTTTATGATGTCAGTGATTTTTTTCTGTAAAAGTCCACAGCTGCCTTTAAAAGAAGCTCCCGGTCGAGGACCAGCCAAATTTAAGAATTTAAACATTGAAGAAATATAATGATGTAATAATGGAAAAACAGCTGAAAAACGTCCAAAGATGAAAAAAATGGTTTCCATTACAAACGGTTTGTTTTCCCAGTTGAAAAACAAACAAAACCAAAACACTTTTATATTTCAAACCGTATTTTCTTAGAATGAGTCCAAACCAAAAGAGTCAGAATTATATAAACCTGTCAACAAGTAGATACTTACAGATGCTGTTTCATAGTTTATAATAAAAAAATAAAAAAACACTGAGAGGAACTGCCAGAACACAGACAGGTTCTAATAACAGCTGTTATTAACAGTTAGTATCGTTTGGTAATAACTCATTAATAACCTCAGGATGCCTGGAGAAACACCACAGGTTCTCTGTGTTCACACTAAGGTTGAATGTCTTTACAGCTTCTGTCTCTGCTGCTGACAGTGACCTGAAGACCAAGAGCTCTGGAACAGACTTTAGAAACCAGAAAAAAACTTCAGAGACACAGTGACTCTGAAGACCAGACCGACCAAAAAGAGGAGAAACCGGAATATTCTAAAACATGTACTCCTTTTACTATTTACTAAAATAGATCTGTGTTGAGTCTCGTGTCATTTCACCAAGTTTTTTGTGTCTGTTGTGGAGCCTCAGGTCAAAGGTCACTGTCTGCTCAGAGCTCGTTCTTTTTAAATGTTCTTTTTCTAGAACTTTCTTCTTTCAGTTCCTTATTCTCACGTTGCTGCCGTTCTGCAGTGACGAGGAATGTCTGCCAAAATAATGAAACATTCGTGACGTTTTTGTTTTTTTACAATTATTGTTTATATTATTGATTCTGTTTTAAATATGTTCGACTTTGGTTTAGGTCGTAGATTTAGATATTAAAGCTGAAGGAAACTGAAAAAAGGTTAAGTAAAAAAAAAGCGTAGGAAAAGAAAACTGTAGACGTATAGGATGAAGCTAGGACCAATGAGAAAAGTCAGGCTTTAATGTTTCAAATTTGATTTTTCAATAATGTGTCGCAACAAATACGTCAAAGCTTTAAAGAGAACAGGAAGTGAGAAATAACATGGGTCTCCTCAATGCCTCTCATGTTAATGATTAAGATGAAGATGATGAAGATGATGATGATGACTTGTCGACATATAAAGCCAAATAAACTCTGTAGAAACCGTCTGAAGTTTCCTCGTCTACAGCCAATCAGAGCAGCTGAATATGAATTGTTTAATTGATTAATCATGCATTACCATTTCTGTGATTGGTCAGTTCAAGCTCAGCGTCCTCAGCGACAGGTTCAAGTGCCCCGATTGGTCAACGTCAGTGTCCTCTCCTCCGAACGCTGGGTCTTTGGTCTGGCGGTCGATGGCGGATTTGGACTGGTTCCGTCTTTGTCCGATTTCTGGTGCGGAAGCCTCGGTGCGGAGCTGGCACCGCGGTGGCAGCAGGCGGCGATATCAGCCCTGAAGGACGGTGTGTAGAAGCCGTAGATGACGGGGTCGCAGCAGGTGTTCAGGTTCCCAAACAGGAAGAGCGCGTGGTGGACGTATTCTGGCGTGACCTGCACCATGTCGGGCTGGAACCAGTACCAGATGCCCAGAAGGTAGTAGGGTGTCCAGCAGACGATGAAGGACAGCACGATGACCACCGTCATCTTCAGAGTCTTCATCCGAGCCTTGGGGATGATGTCGGTGCCGCTGCGCCGCAGGTAAGACTCACCATCTGAAAGAGAGGAAGAGGCTGCGATGGTGATGTCACGGCAACTATTTCAAAGCTAGTGCTAGTTTAACAAGACGAGTGAGACAGGTGAGAGATGCTAGTTTAACAAGACGAGTGAGACAGATGAGAGAGGAAGAGAGTGTCCAGTCCAGGTCAGGGACCAAAAGGGCTAACGTCCAAGTCTGAGCCACAGGAGAAAAGTCTGAGTCTGAGTCAGGGTTCGAGTCAGTGAACGGTTGACTCTCAGACGTACCCGTCTCCCTCATGTGCTGCCGGTGAATGTGCAGAAGGATCTGACTGTAGCAGCAGCTCATCACCAACAGGGGGAGCACATACAGAGACGTGAAGTGGAACATGTTGTAGAGGGTTTCCTGCCAACGGTGAATGAAACTGCCGTGGGACGCACACTGAGTGAAGTTCATGCCGTCCACGGACACCGTCCTGAAGACCAGCAGCTGCAGAGAGAGAGAGAGAGAGAGAGAGAGAGAGAGAGAGAGAGAGAGGGGGACGGGTGAGAGCAGCTTCACCTCCATCAGATCAAGAGACCTCACATTCTCACAGTCAGCACTTAGCCTGAGCTAACAGCAGGAAGTTTCCATAACAAATCCTGACAACATTCCTAACGAGATTTAGAGAGAACGGAGCTGCTGCTGCGAGAGCGCAGGAAAAATGTGCTCCTGTGAAACCACCGGTGATTTTCCTCAATTCACCGGCCGTTAAAGTACGAGGGTCGTGACCCAGTGGGCGACTGCTGATGTTAAATGTTATTATTTGACAGGTGAGAACGTTAACGAGCAGTCACTGATTATACAGGAGTCATGTCAACGTGTTTACATAATGGTGTGAAAGCTCTGCTGTGATTGGTCAGAGACCTGCGGCGATGCAAACAGCAGGCTGAGACTCCAGGCCAGCAGGAGCAGGTGGCGATTCCTGTGGCGGGCGCTCAGCGCGTCCAGCGGGTGCAGGATGGCACGATGGCGGTCCAGACTGATGACGACCAGGATGAAGGCGGCGGCGTGCATGGCGAACAGCTTCAGGAAGCAGAGCAGCTTACAGAGGGCGTCGCCGCCGTACCACTGCACCGTCACGTTCCACACCGCATCCAGAGGCATCACCACGAACGTCATCATCAGGTCAGCTGACGCCAGACTCAGCATCAGGGGCCGCAGATGGGACGCCAGCCTCCGGCCACGCCCGCACCACACGCTGACCAGTAGGGCCAAGTTACTGCAGGCGGCAAACAGGAAGAGGACGAAGGTGATGCCGACCCGGAACTGAGCCGCACGAGTAAACCGAGGAGCCTCCCAGTCTGAGAGACAGGCATGCTGGGAAGTATTGCAAGGGGGCGGGGCCAACGATGACGGGATCAGGACGGACAGATTATCTGACATCCTGCGGAGAGACAAAGAAGATCAAAGAGTTGAATTATCCCAGAGTTGAACTGAGGTTTTCCCTGAGACCACACAGAGGTCAGGAGGCGGGAACTACAGGGTTAACCTCGTGGTTAGTGGTTAGTGGTTAGTTAACACAAATGATTCAAAGATCAGCCCTGAAAAAATAACAAATATCTGTGATACTGTTGAACAGACACACACACGCACAGGTCAGGTTACAGCACACACAGACAACACAGTTATTTTTACCTGCAGGGTGTGTGTGTGTGTGTGTATTTGACGAATCCATGGTTAAAGGAGCAGTTACATTTTTTAACAAACTCAGTGACGCAGAAATAACAGTGTATTAACATTATTGTTAAACAAAAGGAAAGAAAAGTTTGTAATCGACTTCATCGTCTTTAACTCAGTGACACAAACTGACCACACGAGGCAGGAGTGGACCAGCAGCTCCTGTGACCCAGTCAGTCTAAATCACTGATTTTCTCTGTGGACTATGGTGTGATTTCCTACTCTGCTGACTCGATTAACTTGTAACTAAGATGTTTTCAAACACATAAGTTGATGGAGAAAATGAAAGAGTGACGGCTGACTGTGATCATGACTGACAGTTTTCTCTGGGCTGAGTACGTGTGTATTTTCTTTGTCCAGTTTTCTGTTCAGGAGAGTTTCCTGCCAAAACCAATGTTTGCATTGAAAGTTAGCTGCTGTTTCTAGCTGCAGGTGGCGCTAACAGCACAGTCAGCCCTGACTCTGTGTGTGTGTGTGTGATATACGACCTCACCTCGTAACTTCTGGACTTCCAGTTTAATCTAAATTGGACCGACCTCTGTCCAATCCAAATGCCTCCTAATCCTGACCAGATTATTCCTGATTATTACCGACGTGGACAGTCTTCATACTGACCAGAACATGACCAGGATTTAAAGTCTTGGTTCTGGATCACAGAATCTGTACTCTTTAACATTTTAAGGACACACACACACACACACACACACATACCTGTATCTCTGCTCCTCATGGTCTCTAACTCATCTGAACCAGTAGAACTCCGTCAGAGTGTGATCTGGTTCTGCTCCTGGTGCGGGATTCTGTCTCCAGCTGGTCCAGGTCTCTACTGAAACTGTGAGACTGTAGCGGGGAGATGGAGGTGGAGAAGGAGGAGGAGCTGTTACTGGCTGTGGTCACTGATCCCGGCTCTGGATCCCTGCTGGACTCCTGACGTAGACTCTGGTCTGTAGATGTGAATCTGACTCCTGGTTTTAAATGCCCTCCAGACGTCAGGTCGGATATGGACGTGTTCTACAGCTAAACTCTGCAGATGTCTTTAAAAAAATGACTCTTAATTTTGGCAAATCTGAAAGTTTTGGAACAGGACTTCATTTCGTCACCAGGTGGCGGTGTTTGTCTCAAACACATCTGCCATGTAGACTGAGATCCTGCTGTATCATGGTCTACACTGGACTCTCAGTCTGGGCTCTGGGTCTGGAGCGGTTTCCTGCTCGACATCCTTCTGACATGATCAGTCCAGAGATCAGTTGATGTGGACTTCATCTACATCAGAGAACAGAACCTGGACCTCAACCGTCCCACCAGAGAAGTGGCGTGTGTCAGCTCAGTGTGGCTGTTGGGCGGGGCCTCTGTCTGCTGCACCAATGACGTTTTACTGCAGGAAAGAGTAGACATTAAAGACATGTCCTGTGATGTCGTGGACGTGGACTGGACGCTTTGATTGACAGTTACCTGTTGGAGTTAGACTTCTGTCTGTCCACACCTGGAAAAAAGTATAAAGTGTAACGTAACCACTACAGTTGATGTCAAACCCTCTGTGAGCATCTTGTATTTTTTCTCTTATTCTAGTTGTTCTGATGGTTTAAAGGAATGTCTCCACTGACAGGTCACTCGTAAAGTTCATAGAGAAAACTACACCTCAAACGATGGTAGTTCTGTGTGTTACAAACACTTCCACTCATTGATTATAGGTGATAAAGTCATGAGGGTTGTTTTCTTTACCTGCATCTCCAGAAGCTCCGCCCCCTGGCTTCTCATAACGCTCCGCAGCTTCCTGTCCACCTGGAGCGTCTTCCTCTGTCCACAGTGAAGATGATCATGATTTTAACCCCATCATCACAGAGAGGTCACAGGGTCACAGAGGCCACAGGTTTAACCCCATCATCACAGAGAGGTCACAGAGGTCACAGGTAAAAGGACAGTCTCACCTGAGCGCTCCTCTCTGTTCTCATCCTGCTCCTGATTGGTTTCACTTCCTGGACTGTCTATGATGTCGGACTTTCTGCGATCAGATGATAACATCATCACATCACTCTCTGAACTCATGCATCGGTGACAGTGTGATAAACGTTAACTGACGTACAGTTCCACAGGGAAGCCTTTTGGTCGCATCCTGCCGGGGCGTGGTCTCTGAATCACAAAGACAGACCTGAGGTCGGAAAACTGTCCACAGGAAGTGACTGATGACTGGTGTGGTCACGTGATCTCACCTGCAGGTTCAGTCTTTGCAGTGATGTCATCAGCTGATCCAAGAGCTGATCCCGAATAGTAGTGTCCTGGAAAACCAGCAGACATGTTTGGAAACAGGAAGTGAAGTCGGTCAGTACTTGTTCAGGTTTTATCACTGATTCTGGTCTTGGTTCTGGTCTTAGTTCTGGTTCATTTCCAGGTGCAGGTCTTACCTCACAGTGGGAGGCTGCACTCAGAGCCTGTTTGTAGAGTTGAACCACTTTATGATGTTTCTTCTGCCTCAGGTAAAACTTAGCCAAGGACACACACACCTGCACCTGAGACAGGTGCTCCTCTATAGACAGACACACAGACAGGTCACCGACAGGTGAGACAGGTCGGAGAGACAGACAGGCCACAGATCAAATCCAGACAGGTCGGAGAGACAGACAGGCCACAAATCCGAGGACAAACCTGCGTCTGTGAATCCCTGCAGGGCGTGTATGAAGCTCTCTGCTGCCCCCTCTTCATCACCCAGCTCACTGCAAGCTACAGCCAGGTTACTGAAACAGCGAGCCTGATCTCCACGGCAGCCCAGGGAGCCTTCATACACACACATAAACACTCACTGAGTGAGTACACATACATATACAAATACCAAATAACATCAATATATAAGCCAGGAACACGGCCAACAGGTGGACGGCCGACTGACCGTAGAGTCCAGCCGCCTGTCTGTGGTACACCAGGGCAGACTTGAACTGACCCACAGAGTTCAGAGCAGCTCCCAGGTTGTGTGTGACTTTGGCCAGCAGAGGAGGCCACTGAGCGGCAGGACTCACAGCATTTTGAAAACACTGTAGCGCCTGAGGGAAACAGCGCAGTCTGCAGAAAGACACGCCCACTGATAGGTACAGCTCACCTGTGTGACATCAGTATGACATCAACAACCACATAACCAATCAGCTCATCGACTGTCAATCACAGAGTCATTACCCAGAATCCTTGGCTCGCTGATGCCGTGGGTCAAGGACAGACACTCGTCTAGCACGCCTGTGATGTCATCACTACTGAACTGCTGTGATTGGATCATATGATTTCCCGCCTGCTTCAGGGCAGCGGCTGCAGAGTGTAACATGTCAGCCATTTTGTAGCTTTCTGCAGCGCGGAGGAAACCCTGGACCGCCAGAGACCAGTCCTGAAAACACACAAAAAAAAATCCTGAAGATGTTGATGAAGATGAAATCATTTCAGAATAAACAGAAACAAAAAATCCTGAAGATGTTGATGAAGATTCAGAATAAACAGAAAGACAGAAACCTGGTTCTGACCAGGTTCAGTTCAAACCTAGCTCATGGTACAGTTTCTGGTCTTGGTTAGACCTCTGACCTAGTTTCTCATTCTGGGTGTGACCTTTGTGTCGGGTTTGGACCTGGTTCTAGTTCTGACCTGGGTCCTGCTGTAGCAATGGCCCATCTCCATGCAGGCGTCTCCCTCGCTGCCTCCATCTCCCTGTGACCTGTACAGCTGAGCAGCCTGCAGGAAGTGGGCGGCAGCCTCAGTGCTCTGACCCAGTGCATTGTGGGCCAGTGCGAAGTTGAACTGAAGGTCTGGGAGCCGCTCGGCCTTTGGACCGGACTGAGCTCGCCGCAAGAATTCCAGACCCTTCTGAGGCTGTCCTGATTCTACATAAGCCGCACCGAGGTTGTAGGTACAAGCCCGGACCACCCGAGAGTCCTGCAGCTGAAAGAAGAGCATGATGGGAGATTGACCAGACCCTGATCATGTGACACTCACACATCTGATGTACAGTACATGACCTCACCTGCTTTGCAGATTTTAAAGCGTCCTTGAAGCAGGTGACAGCGTAACTGTGACGTTGTTCGGTCAGAGCTCGATGGCCCGCGTTTGTCAGCTCTTCAATCCCCTTCATTGTTTTTGTCTTTTTCCCACCAGAGGCCGCCGCATCAGACGCCATGACTGATCAGACACTTGGATCGAGTTGGAGCAGACTTTAATAAGTTGACTGACTTAACAGTTATCTTTAAAAATGACACATTTTAATGTCATTATCAACAACAGCCTGCTGGACACAGTGACCTACAAGTACGATTACTATTTCAATGATGGAAAATCGCTGACATCAATCTCTAACAAACTGAAATTGGATGCTAACATAAACAGAACTACCACATATTATATTAAAAATGCTAGTACGGTAACCGATATAAAAAACAACAAAACAACACTACTCACCTGGTTCCAACAAAATACCTTTTTTCTCGAATGAATATTTTGCGACTGTGTTTCTGTATTTTGTGTCTCTTTCCTCCTCCAAAGTTTGACTCTGTTGCTGCGGCAACCCGGAAGTGACGGAAGTTGTGGCGATAGTAAAGTTTTAATGTCCTCTTAAATTACGTTTCCCCCCGGGCACGGTGGGTGTCAGGCAACGGCTTAAAACACTACCTTAACCACAAGGCCTTGCGATATCTAACAGATCCAATCAGAGCAGCGTATGGGACCACGGACTAATCAGATGGCAGCGGGAGCTTTCAAACTTTAGACAGGAAGCGTCAGATGAACACAAGGCGTTTGACGTTGGCTCGTTTTTTTACCGTGTAGTGGTTTTAGTAGCCAATAATACGGGATTTTTTAAGGATAAAACGCAGGTTTTCATCGAGTGGAAGAGACAGTGAACCAGTAGAAAGGATGGCGGACAGAGCTGCCGCTACAGAGAGCCGTTGTGAGTTTATGAGCTTATTTCAGCTCACATTAACTCCTGCCTAATGGTTTTACTAACGATAACCCACTTGTAACGTACTAACTACTTACTAACTATTAACTATTTTTAACCGCTAATCGAGGAATCACCACTAAAACTAATGTTTCGTACAAATTCTCATCCCACACGTTTATTACGCGTGAACTAAACTTCTATTCCTTGTCATTTCCGTCATATTTGAATTTAGTTCCTCTTTTTGCAGGTGTTACCACCATGTTGCTAGGCTTACAGTAGCATATAACATATATATATATATACATAATGGAGTATAATCAACAAAGTTGAGTGAACTTTGAAGCACTAGAGGGCACTGCAAGATTTAGATGCTAACCATACAGTATAATACTTATTATCTATTTCTGTCCACCACCTGCTGGCGTTTAAAATATTTATTTCAAAACGTGTAACATTATCACTAAATTGGCTAAAGCCTGGATTCAAACATTTATTTGCTTGTCATGTTGTTGAAGATGAGCGTCTGACAGCAGAGCAGATGGATGAGCAGAGGATCCAGAACGTGGCCTACCAGTATCTGTGCAGACTGGAGGAGGCCAAGAGGTCAGTGTGATGTCATCAACACGCTCCTGTCTCCGTTTCATGTTTACATCCTGCAGGGTTCAATACACTGCCCCTCCTTTTTTTTGTTCTTCCCCAGGTGGATGGAGGCCTGTCTGGGGGAGGAGCTTCCTGCTCCTACTGAACTGGAGGAGGCGCTGAGGAACGGAGTCATCCTGGCCAAACTGGGCCAGCGCTTCGCTCCAGAGGCCGTCCCACTGAAGAAGATTTATGACCCTGATCAGCAGCGATTTCAGGTCATTCAGTGATCCATGATTGACAGTCTATTGGTTACAAGTACGATTACTATTTCAATGATGGAAAATCGCTGACATCAATCTCTAACAAACTGAAATTGGATGCTAACATAAACAGAACTACCACATATTATATTAAAAATGCTAGTACGGTAACCGATATAAAAAACAACAAAACAACACTACTCACCTGGTTCCAACAAAATACCTTTTTTCTCGAATGAATATTTTGCGACTGTGTTTCTGTATTTTGTGTCTCTTTCCTCCTCCAAAGTTTGACTCTGTTGCTGCGGCAACCCGGAAGTGACGAAGTTGTGGCGATAGTAAAGTTTTAATGTCCTCTTAAATTACGTTTCCCCCCGGGCACGGTGGGTGTCAGGCAACGGCTTAAAACACTACCTTAACCACAAGGCCTTGCGATATCTAACAGATCCAATCAGAGCAGCGTATGGGACCACGGACTAATCAGATGGCAGCGGGAGCTTTCAAACTTTAGACAGGAAGCGTCAGATGAACACAAGGCGTTTGACGTTCGCTCGTCTTTTACCGTGTAGTGGTTTTAGTGGGAAATAATACGGGATTTTTTAAAGATAAAACGCAGGTTTTCATCGAGTGGAAGAGACAGTGAACCAGTAGAAAGGATGGCGGACAGAGCTGCCGCTACAGAGAGCCGTTGTGAGTTTATGAGCTTATTTCAGCTCACATTAACTCCTGCCTAATGGTTTTACTAACGATAACCCACTTGTAACGTACTAACTACTTACTAACTATTAACTATTTTTAACCGCTAATCGAGGAATCACCACTAAAACTAATGTTTCGTACAAATTCTCATCCCACACGTTTATTACGCGTGAACTAAACTTCTATTCCTTGTCATTTCCGTCATATTTGAATTTAGTTCCTCTTTTTGCAGGTGTTACCACCATGTTGCTAGGCTTACAGTAGCATATAACATATATATATATATACATAATGGAGTATAATCAACAAAGTTGAGTGAACTTTGAAGCACTAGAGGGCACTACAAGATTTAGCTGCTAACCATACAGTATAATACTTATTATCTATTTCTGTCCACCACCTGCTGGCGTTTAAAATATTTATTTCAAAACGTGTAACATTATCACTAAATTGGCTAAAGCCTGGATTCAAACATTTATTTGCTTGTCATGTTGTTGAAGATGAGCGTCTGACAGCAGAGCAGATGGATGAGCAGAGGATCCAGAACGTGGCCTACCAGTATCTGTGCAGACTGGAGGAGGCCAAGAGGTCAGTGTGATGTCATCAACACGCTCCTGTCTCCGTTTCATGTTTACATCCTGCAGGGTTCAATACACTGCCCCTCCTTTTTTTTGTTCTTCCCCAGGTGGATGGAGGCCTGTCTGGGGGAGGAGCTTCCTGCTCCTACTGAACTGGAGGAGGCGCTGAGGAACGGAGTCATCCTGGCCAAACTGGGCCAGCGCTTCGCTCCAGAGGTCGTCCCACTGAAGAAGATTTATGACCCTGATCAGCAGCGATTTCAGGTCATTCAGTGATCCATGATTGACAGTCTATTGGTTTGTTTAACCAAACAATAATAATAATATACAAGATACATATTGACTATAAATAGTCAATAATCAACAATGTATTGATCTACTCAGGCCCTGGGTCTTCAGTTCAGACACACAGATAACATCAACCACTGGAGGAAGGCCATGACTGTTCTGGGACTGCCAACAGTGAGTGAGGACAGGAATCAAACCCTGACGTTGATCCGCTGATTGGTTTGAATGTGAAATGATATGTTTTGTTCTTTGTTTGTTTTTTTAAAGATATTTCATCCAGAAACAACGGACATTTACGACAAGAAGAACATGCCCCGAGCCGTGTACTGTATCCACGCTCTCAGGTCTGACATATGCATTTTCTTGGCAGAGAGTAGTATTAGGGACTCAGAAACAGGCCCAGGGCCTGCATGATTTTTTTTAACCAAAGTAACGACTTCTAGAAATAAGATAATACGGGAAATTATATGCTTTTTTTATTGCAGGAATTTGTAGCTAAAACTATGAACAGGAACAAAAGCTAATTGTTCTCAAACAATCTATATGCCAGTACTGAATGATAATGTCTGCCTAAAAACATTAAAATTTTAATTTAGTTTTTTTGACCACATTTTACTCATTTACCTGCACCTGTGTGTTACAGCATGTACCTGTACAGACTGGGCGTGGCCCCTCAGATCCACGATCTCTATGGGAAAGTTAAATTTACAGGTAACGATCAAAGTTTTCTTAACGGTTTGACACGTGTTTACAGTGATGTCACAGTGATGTCACACTGTCTGCTCACAGAGGAGGAGATCAACAACATGCAGAGGGCATTGGATCAGTATGGTATCCAGATGCCAGCCTTCAACAAGATTGGAGGACTCCTGGCCAATGAGCTGTCAGTTGATGAAGCTGCAGGTAAAAAGAAGGAGCTGATTGGTTGTGAAGCACTTTGCCCCCTCCACCCACTGACCCCTCCTCTCTCTAACAGTCCATGCAGCTGTAATTGCCATTAATGAGGCAGTGGACAGAGGGGACGTGGACGTAACTGCAGTGGCACTCAGGAATCCAAATGCCATGCTGAAACACCTACAGGAGGCGCTGGTGAGCGTCTATCAGGAGATGCTGTGTCAAGCAAAGAGGAAGAAGTGTGATCGCGCTGCACGCAGGGTAAGGCTCAGATGTTTCAGAATACAGTACCTGAAATGAATAGAACTATGTAGCGCCCTCTTGTGACACATCTGAGTAAAGCATTAGGATTGTAGGTTTTTCTAGCCAGGAATCACCACAGTATAAACACATTTGTAATTTTGATTATGGGTAATTGTGTATATTTTGTGTATAATTGTGTACATGTTTTAGGTATTTAAGGGCCAACTATTGTTAAGTATTCATTTTTAATAATTATTAAATCCATAGTTCACTAACCTGGTTTTCTTTTGGCTGATTTGGGGATTTTTTTTTTCTCCTAAACTTAATTATAATTTTTCTTTTCAGTAGCATTGTTTTTTGCTAATTGTTTTGTTGTGTTGTTTTGTTTTTTTACAATGGTGTGTGTGTGTAGTGTGAAGGATCTGATGACATTTATGAAGAGTTTCTGACACAGAAAGAGATTCAGGAAAACATCAACATCGTTAATGGTAAAATCAAAAAAAAGAAATCATCTTCTAATCACATGTGTTAATGCAACCTTCAATCACAGCAACCACGATCTAAATGAACCTGAGATGATTCCAAAGGCGGCTCTGGTTGTTAACCACTCACTCTCCCACACCAAAGTCAGAGAGCTTTGCTAAGTTTCAATGCGTAATTTATACATTTTCAAACTGACCACAGGAGGCAGCAGTGTACCAGCAGTTCCTCTGTCTTTGGTGTGGGACAGTGAGTGGTTTTCTCTGTGAAGAGATTATATGTGGCTTATTGCTGCACACAGCAATGATGATTATTGATGGATGGTTATTGATCGTATTGATGAGCAGTTCGCTCAGCTGTGGAGCAAGTGGACGAGGCTCTGGACGAGGCAGACGAGCTGGCTCTGCTCTCTGTGCTGCAGCTGCCGTGTTTGGCCCTTAAGGGGCTCCGCACTGAAAATGGCCCCTGGTACCTGGACCAGCTGTCACTGGATCGACAGCAGAAGGCACTGGTACGTATACTTTTGCGCCCACTGTTGTACGTTAAACAGTACTGACAAAGTAGACCTGATTGACCCCCTGTCCTGTGTCCTCTGACAGGACGTGGGCTGCGTTGATCCTCTGAACCCCACAGAGCTGCAGGAAGGAGTGACCGCCGCCAACGAGGAGGCCAGGAAAGCTAGCAGCAGTAGGTCCACTTCTTCTCACAGACTCTGAAGCTGCAGCTGTTCACTGGTCTGACTGTACTGACCAGTTTGCCTCTGAATATCCAGTGCAGGCAGCTGTGCAGAGTGTGAATGCTGCCCTGCGTAGTGGTGACCCCAGACAGACAGTGAGCCGTCTGATGAACCCTGACCTCCAGCTGCCTCCAGTGTTTCCTTCTGCCGCTGCTCTGTATCACAGAGAACTGGGACTTCTGCAGAGACGGGCTGCTCAGGTCAGAACCCGCTCCAAACAGTCGGTTTACTGAAGAGAAATGAACCTACTGTGCCAAAAACTGATGTGGTTTCTTGTGTCCACCAGGGGGAGCTGCAGCAGGAGGAGCTGTTTGTCGCAGTAGAGATGCTCTCAGCTGTGGCTCTCATCAATGAGGCCATGGTGAAAGGAAACCGGCAGCAGTTCTGCTCCTCATTGGTCAGTTCGTCCGCGGGACTGTCCGATGTGGACTACACTCTAATGGACAGGTACTCTGTCTGTCTCTGCTGGGGCCTTTTTAGGGACGGTCAAGTGTATGTCTGTTTACCTGTTTCTCCCTCTGGTGGCGTCTATAGGTACTTCCAGTGTCTGGTTGACGTAAAGAATCAGCAGCGCTCAGATCTTCTGACCTGGAATCAGCTGCAGGAGGGAATCAACGAGGTCAACAGCTCGATGCAGGAGGAACATCAGCGTAAGAACAGCTGACCGATAACGCTGACCTCACTACTGCTGACCTCTGACCCTTGTCTCTGTCTGTGACCTTAGAGCTGGAAGCCGTGCGGCTCATCAGTGAGGCAGCTTTCATAGGAAACTGTGAGCAGCTGCTTTCTGCTCTGCTCGCGCCCTCTTGTGGTGTGGAGGAGGTCCTGCCTGAAAACATCAGTCGTTACTTGATGCTGCTCCGCAAGGCTCAGGTAAGACCACACGGGTGCACCGTGACCTCTACGATACCTGAAGTCATGTGACCTCCTCAACCTCCTCCTCCTCCTCCCATCTGAATAGATGAACAGAGTGGGCGGAGCTTCACTGTGGTTGACCGATATCCAGGAAGAAGTAAGGAGAGCCAATCAGCAACGTCAGAAAGCTCTGAAGTGTGAGTGACATCATCAAGACCCTGGGGGGCGTGGTTATTTGTTGGTGTATTCGTTCATTGATTGATGTATTGCTGTTGTTTCCCAGTGTGTCTGGCAGTGGCGGCGGTGAACCAGGCAGTGAAGGAGAACAGAGCCAATCAGACGCTGCGTGTTCTGTCCCTACCTGAGCTTCAGCTGCAGAGACTGGTGTCGGACTGCGCTAACGATTACCAGAGGCAGCTGAGCAGTGAGGTCACACAGAGGCGGCGAGCAGGTAAGAACCTCACCGACCACCGCAGACTGACCCTGTGTAGACCTATGTAGACCACTCTGGACCAAACCAACGACGGTTGGAGATCGCTTTTTTTGTAACTGTTGTAAACACACTTTACCTCCAGGAGACAACAGGAGTCCCTGGGTTAGGGTTCGCCTAGAGGACGACTCCTACTTTTACTTCCACCTGAGTAAACTGGAGGGGACATGGGACAAACCCTCGGACTTCATTCAAAACAATGTCTTCGTCAACAGAGAGGACGTCCAGGTGAGTCATTATGTCGTCCAGCACCGAGGCCAATATATTCTACAAAAGTTAGAAAGTTAGTTTCTGATGATGGTGATGTCACGTCTGCGCCTAAAGGAAGTGGTCAGCAGTGTGTGGAGTTCACACAATCGCAGCGCCCTCTGGAGGAGCAATGAAGCCCTGATCGTTGGTCTGCAAGCGGCGTGTCGAGGGTTCCTGGTCAGGCAGGGGGTGGAGGCTCGACGACGGTTCCTGATCCGTCAGACACCTGCTGTGGTTGTACCTCAGGTGAGCATCATCATCATCATTATCATCATCATCATCACTGTTCCTCCACCCAGGTCCAGGTCGGTTCTTGAGATGGAGGTTCTCAAACACTTTAGATCCATTATTAACAAACCACAGTGTAGGTGGAGGCAGACAGACATGTGAGGACACTGTTCTGCTCTTGTGTTCAGGCTCATTGGAGGAGGTTTGTCCAGCAGAGGGCGTACAGACAGAGACTTCAGTTCCTCTACTTAAACTGGAGAGCTGTGGTGAAGGTGAGTGGCATCATCTGTGTGTGTGTGAGTGTGTGACTTTCTCACATGTTATCATCGTATGAATTCCTTCAGATTCAGTCCATGGTGAAGATGTGGTTGGCGAGAAGGAGGTACAGAGCTCGACTGAACTTCTTCAAACGAAACGTGAGTCACTGGATGATTGATATCCCAGAAATACATTTCATCACTTCTTGGGTTTTAGCGTGTTGATGAACCAGCGTGAAAGACTGTCGCCCCACCTACCATAAACACATGCCCTGTGTTATCCACAGGTGGGCGCTATTATAAAGATCCAGGCCTTCTTCAGAGCCAGCAGAGCTCGGGATCAGTACAGGATGTTAGGTAAGAGTCGATCAGCAGACGATTCCTCTGACTGGGTGACGTCTTCTGTCGTCTGTTTGAAGACTGAATCTGTGATGTGATTCCCCCCCGTCCCCCTCACCCCTTGTGTCTCAGTGCACGCTGACACCCCCCCGTTGTCTGTGGTGAGGAAGTTTCTCCATCTCCTGGACATGGGTGATAGTGACATCAGAGAGGAGGCGGAGCTCCTGAAGATGAGGGAGGAGGTGGTGAGGGGCATCCGCTTTAACCGACAACTGGAGTCCGACCTAGACCTGATGGACCTGAAGATCGGTCTGCTGGTCCGCAACCGGGCCACGTTGCAGGTGAGTGGCCGCCTACAGGTGAGGTCGAAAAGTCTGGAACTGAGGGTCGCGGGGGGCGAGTCGCTAATCAGACGATGTGTTGCTGCAAACAGGAAGTGGTCTCTCACTGTAAGAAACTGACCAAGAAGAACAAGGAGCAGCTCTCGGACATGATGGACATTCAGAAGAACAAAGGTCTGAAAGCTCTGAGTCGAGACAAGAGGGAGAAGCTGGAGGGTTACCAACATCTGTTCTACCTGCTGCAGGTCAGACTTCACACAGGTCAAAGGTCCAGGACATAGGTCATTGTGAATGCTCTGTCGGACAGCGACGTTGCCGAGCAGTGACATCATAGCTGACCTCCATCACGTTCTCTCTCGTCTTCTCCCCCATGCACAGACTCAGCCTCTCTACCTGGCTCAGCTCCTGTTCCTCCTCCCTCCGTCTGGCTCCGCCTCCTTCATGGAGACGTTGGTGTTCAGTTTGTTCAACTACGGTTCAGACAGAAGAGACGCTTTCCTGCTGCTGCAGCTGTTCACTGCGGCGCTGCGCTACGAGATCCGGTAACTGTGGTCACCACGTGTACCCACACACACACCTTCACCAGTTAGATGGTGGAAATGGGATCTGTTTGTTTTTTTCACCAAATCGTTCATCAGGTTCCATATTTACGAAGTCCGTTAATAAATCTTTGGTAATTCCTCTCTCAGCCTGAAGGTGGAGCAGCCTAAGGATGTGGTGACAGGAAACCCCGTGGTCATCAAGATGCTGGTGAACTTTTATCGTCATGCCGGCGGCGATGGCGCTTTGCGACACATCCTGGCTCCAGCGCTGCAGGACGTCCTCCAGGATTCCAGTGTTAGCATCAAAACCGATCCTGTGGAGGTTTACAAGACCTGGATCAACCAGAGCGAGAGCCGGACCGGACTAAAGAGGTCTGACGTGTGGGCGCGTCTGTCCGTCTGCCTCGTTTGCATTCGTTTGTCCCGGTTTCTACCTGTCTCACTCTCTCTACTGCCTGTCTCTCAGCTGTCTGCCCTACGACGTCTCAGCCGAGGAGGCTCTGTCTCACCCAGAGGTTCAGAGACGAGTGGACATCGCCATCATCAACCTGAAGAATATGACAGAGAGAGTTTTCAAAGCCATCATCTCCAACCTCAGCAAACTGCCGTGAGTCCTGTCTGTCTGTCTGTCCTCACTGCTTCTCACCTGTTTGTCCTTTTTTTGGTCTCTAACCTGCAGTTGTCTCGTCTTTCGTGTACCTGTCCTCACATGTCCACTGACTGAGTCTTTACTCCGTAGGTACGGACTTCGTTACACAGCCAAAGTTCTCAGAGACGCCCTGAAAGCAAAGTTTCCTCGCGCCAGGGAGGATGAACTCTACAAGGTCAGGGCCGTGATGTCACTTCCTGAATTATTGAACAGCGGCCGATCCGATGTCACTTCCTGAATTATTGAACAGCAGCCGATCCTCAGACTCTCTCTTTTTACAAAGATTGTAGGGAACCTGGTCTATTATCGCTACATGAACCCGGCCGTGGTGGCGCCTGACGGGTTCGACGTGTTGGAGCGTTCTGCCGGTTCCGCCCTGCAGCCAGACGTGCGCCACCTCCTGGGCACCATTGCACGCATGCTGCAGCACGCCGCCGCCAACAAACACTTCCACGGAGACGGCGGTCACATCAGAGCGCTGAACGAGTACATCAGCCAGATGCATGGAAAGTTCAGGTCTGTGAATCCAACATCAGGCCCAGTCCAGCAGGTGTCGCTGTTTGTCCAGAACATCAGGCTCACCTGGTGAAACGGCAGGAAGCGGTAACGGTTCCTTTGTTCTGGCAGGAGGTTCCTGGTGAGCGTGTGCGACGTACCAGAGCCTGACGAGCGCTTCAGTATGGACGAGTTCTCTGAACTTCTTAATGTCACCAGACCCGTGATCTACGTCTCCGTCAGTGAACTCATAAACACACACAAGGTGAGACACGGACCAGGACTCACCAGGTCTCCGTCCAGACCAGTTCTGTTCTGGTCCATTATAATGGTTTATTTGTCCATTTGTCGTCAGTTGTTGCTGGAACATCAGGAGACCTTATGTCCAGACTCCTCTGACCCACTCAGACTGCTGCTCCAGGACCTGGGATCAGTCCCCACCCTGCAGGATCTAACTGGTATTGCACCTCCACTCAAATGTACTTGGTTTAGTTTTTGTTGTCCCCGGTTTTACACATGTACACTTTATTTACGGTCAGTCCGTTTTAGGTTTTTTTTACTGTGGTTTACTAAATCATGTTAAATCAAATTATGTTTGAAGTTTACATCATTTTTTGTTTCATGTTAAATCAAATTATGTTTGAAGTTTTTTGTGTGTGATCATTTTTTGTTTTTAGGAGAGACATGTTCATCACCTGTGGATCATGGACCAGAGTCTGCACTCACACATGAAATCTCTCTAACTCTCACAAACAAGTTTGACATCTTTAATGACGATGTGGACAAACCAGACGCCAGAGGTCTGCTGCTCAGGTTAGCATGTTAGCATGATAGCAGCAGCTTGTTTGATGTCTCTGCTTTGTGTCTTACCTTTAAATTCTGCAGGCTACACCAGTCTGGCTTCTCATGGTCAGGTTAGCTCGGCAGCTTCTTAAATTCTGCAGGCTACACCAGTCTGGATTCTCATGGTCAGGTTAGCTCAGCTGATCCTGTGACGTGTCGTGTCCTCTCTGTTTGTTTCCAGTACGAAGCAGCTGATTGTAGACGTCATCAGGACTCAGCCAGGAGACTGCCTGAGTCATATCCTGAGGACCACACCCTCACACCACCAGGTCATTCCCTGTAAACATGTGTGACGTCATGGACGTGTCCTGACACTTTGACAACGTCTCATTTGCTACTGTCCAAACAGGAAGCGTGCCATGACTGGCTGGTTCAGCGGCGAACTCAGCAGGACGCCCGGACTCCTGACAAGCTGAAGAGAAACCAGTCCCTGATCGCCAACGGGAAACTGAGTCTGGAGGAGAAGAAGCGGAAGATTCTGAGGAACCTGCGTCGTCTGGAGGGACTCGGAGTTCTGAGACAAGATGAAAGTGAAAGGCAAATCTTGCAGATGCTTGCTAAGGTAGGACACGCATCACTTCCTGCCCCTGTGCGCCGGTCACAGCCCAGGTCTGACTTGACTTGTCACCACCAGGACATCCGCCAGCAGCGTCTGAGGCGTCAGCGGAGAGGGGCGGAGCTAGTGAAGCTGCGTCAGACGCTGAGCAGCCTGCAGACCAAGAGCCGTTTCCACAGCGAACAAGTGGACTATTATAGACATTACATCACTTCCTGTCTGGACAACCTGACTAAAAACAGGTACATGTTTTAAATCCAGCCTGGATAATCATGGAGTGGAGTATTGGCTCAATTTAACCAGAATAAAACTCATTCTGTTTGGTTGTGTTAACCAGAATAAAACTCACTCTGTTTGGTGGTGTTTGGTTTTGGTGCAGTAAATCAACCAATAAGAAGACAGCAGAAAGCAAAGGGAAGAAGAAGGTTCCTGCTCTCAGCTACAGCGCCACCCGGCTGCAAGAGAAGGGAGTTCTGATAGAGATCCAGGACTTGCCAAGTACACAGTGAGTCCTCCACTGATGACATCACTTATTTGAAAACAATGATATTATCATGTTTTTGTTTTTGTTTTTCAAACATGTGGCTGTGCTCTCTGCAGGTTTAAAAATGTGGTCTTTGACATCGTTCCTGGTCCTGAAAAAGGAAGCTTCAGAGTGAAAACCCGTTTTCTCGGTGTTGAGATGGAAGAGTTCCTGCTTCAGTACCAGGTGAGACTGCACCAGTGCTCGCTTAACTGGGCACTAACCTGGGTGACACAAAATAAACACTCAGCCAGACATGGTTAAACCCTTCAATACAAACGTGATTTTTTTTTCAGGATCTGCTGCAGCTTCAGTACGACGGCGTGGCTGTGATGAAAATGTTCGACAAAGCCAAGATCAACGTCAACCTGCTCATATTTCTGCTCAACAAGAAATTCTTCAAGAAGTGAACAGAGTGACACATCTCGGTTCACTCTGCTATCACCAATATTACTTTAACACAGTTTTTGATTTTAAAATGCCACAGTATGGCCCACAGTAAAACAGCTATACACGCTACTAACTTCCTTAAAAAACCTATAAAGATACAATACCTGCAGTATTTTTAATTTGATATTGAGTGGAACATCTCTTTTTTATATATATATCTGTTGCATTTTCTCACATAGAAATGTGTGGCAGTGTGATGCTTGCTTTGTTCTCTCTTTTTTTTTTTTTTTTTTTTCCTATCTGCACTTATTCAATGTCTGGTGTCAGGGCAGAGTGAGACATCTCTGCTACCCGTCTTTGTTTTTACTTAATAACAACTGCTGATCAGTATCTGCTGTTCTTGATTTCTGAACAGTTTTTATTCATCAGTATCTGCTGTTATTGAACAATAATTGTAAATATTTTCTGTCATTTTAAAATGTATTTAATCAATAAATCAAATATTCCCACATCGGGTAAAAAAAACACAACATTTTGACTGACGTGTCGGTTTGTGTTTAGCAATTAGCATTAGCGTCGCTCTGTAGTTACTGTATGTCCTGTCCGGGTGCCGTCACCAGAGAGCGCTGTATCAACGGATAAGGTGAAAATGGATGAATGTGATGTTAAGGACGGGTAAGTGACTAATTTGTCCGTTTAAAATCAGATAATGGCAGCTTTATGGCCGAAGGCGGTTCTGTCCCCGCGGCAGCTTTGACGTTTGTTTGAGCTGAGCCGTAATGATGTTGGAGACGATGGCTAACAGATGTTCGAAAAGCTTGAGAACAATGGCTGCCCTGGTAACAGCAAACACTTTTACCTTTAATGGTTTAACAACTTTGTTTTCATCATTTCACTCTGCCTAAACTTTAAAACGTTCGACTTAAGTTTCATCAAAGGGTCGTTCCTGTTGTGAAAACAAAATGTTTTAGGCATTTTAGCATTGGATAAAATCTTCATATTGTAACGTCAAGACTATTATAATATGTATTCACAGTAACTTCAGTGTACATGGTGTTGTTTAAGACATTTAAAATGTTTATTCACCGTCACAATCAAAGAGAAAGAAGAAAAATAAACAGACATTTCTCTCCACCAGCAGCCATTTACAAAAATACTCTGATTTAGTTTAAACTTCAAGTATCGACCAGCAGCAACAGGCCTGTCCAGTATCAACAGGTCTGACCTATACTTAGCCAGTGCAAACCAGTTTGAAACAGAATAAGCTAGCCAATCCGAATTACAATTCACTGGTTTAAATCAATGTGAACGAGTTTGAACCAGAATAAAATACAATGAACAATTGGAAGCTGGTGTAAACCGCAGTCTGAAAGCTTCAGTACAAACTACAGGGGGAAAAATATCAACCAGGTTTAAACACTTAAACCAGTTATCAAATTCTCGTACTCTACCAGTCTTAGCTTATTTTAACCAGTATTAACCAATTTAAATCAGTACAAATTAGTGTCAAGTTGGATCCACTTCCCTCGACCACCTCAGCAGTGTAAAAAGACCTTAACCAATAGTCTTCAGCTGTTGTTGTGAACTAAATTGTGAACCACCTTAAAAAAAGTCAACCAACTTTAACTCAGATTAACCATACCCAGGTTATTTACTGTACTCTACTACTTTAAGGCAGTTTAATAATGTTGACCCAAGTACATACCCTGAACGGTGTGTTTAGTTCTTAAACCAGCTTCAAACAGGTCTGGAAGATATTACTCATTACTTTATAAACCATAACCTAACCAAACTTAGCACCAAACAACAATCTAACCCAATCACGATCATTCAGTTCTTTGACCAGATAACAATCAAGACTTTAGCGGTCCTTGAAACCTCACTGTAGAGTAACCTGAGCCTATCTAACTGGTGTGAACCAGTGTGAACATCTTAAAAACGATGCTAATAAATCCCTAACAACTGATGCTACTTCAAATTGGTGTTAACCCATTAAAACAAGTTGGAACTACTTCAAACAGTGTAACTCATTTTCATTGGTCAAATCATTTTGATACAGTTGGTACCAAAGATGTAAGTAAGACTAAACCCAAGGATTCCACTTAAACCCAGTCCAAACCAATTGAAACCAGTGCAAAATTGACTGAATCAATGAGTGTTATTATTTTGAATCAGTTTAGACATAATACTAAACCAGTTTGCATTATTTCAAACCAGTGTCAAAGACCTGAACCCGAACCACTTCAAACCACTGAAAATCTTTTTAAATCACTCTGAAACTTTTCAAACTTCTAAACCAATTTTCCGACTCCGGTGCTAGTGTGAGTCACCTTAAACACGTGTAAACCAGAGTGACCCACATGTAGAACACGTATTTCCAAAACCAGTCTGAGGATCTGCAGTACCTGTGGATCACCACCCTGAGGCGTCCTGGAGTCCAGATACTGTTAGAGCTGTAGATGATCTAACAGAAAATTGTACTATTGTGTAACTTCCTGAGGAAGTGATGTCACAGTCCTAACTTCTTAATTATGACGTTATTGGTTGCAAATTTCAGAACTGCAGCGCCTCCTGTGTCAAAGCAGGTGAACTACTTCAGGATCGTTCGGTTATTTACACTTTCGGATCACCACTCGGCTTCTTTGGAATCAACAGATTAATAGCACAATCCTTCTAAACATAACAAACACAGATAAATAATTCATATTGATTGACTATTGACTATTGATCGTCGTTGAACGAACAGAGCAGCAGAAATACCTGGCTCGGTGCAAAAACTGCATCAGTAAACATCAAAATTTCAACAAACTGCACCAGGATCAGTCCACATCGGGGCTGGTCCTTACCAGCCTCAGGTCTCACTGGCTGTGGACCAAAGGAGTCCTGGTCCACATCAGTCTTAGTCCTCGACTGTCCTACACATGGAAGTATTTTTGAAGATAACATTTATTTGAAGTTTTAAACATTAAAAGGGCAGTTCAGGTTTTAAAAGGTGGTTGTATGAACACATTGCTGAGGGAAAATAGCGCCACCTGCCACTCGGTAAAAACATGGCTGCCAACTAAAACACAAAATACATTTTTTACCACCTATTACTTGGCTCACCAAATGAACTCTTTCATCGTTTCCCCTTTTTTCTCTTTGGAATTTGGTGAGTAAAGCTAATGGAGTCGTAAAGAATAAAGTTCTCTGCTTCTTGTCGCAGGTTTGTTTACCAACCACTCATCTACACCGAGGGCCATAAGAGACGTCACAGCAGTTGTTGATCCACTGCTGCTTCCATTATTATTATTGTTGTTGTTGTTGTTGTTGTCATTATTGTTATTTTTGGACTTTAATATTTCATATCCTTTGGTCAGACATGCCTTAGTGACACAAACTGACCACTGGAGGCAGCAGTGAGCCAGCAGCTCAGCTGTGTCAGCACAAGCTAAAAAAGCCAGGTTTTTTTGTATGGACTCTCATGAAACATGTCATACAACCACACTAGAAAAACATGAACTGTCGCTGTCACTCAGGTGTCGTATATGAAGTCAGTCTCAGACTGAAGGTGCAGCTGTCCACACCAGGAAGTGGTTTAAAATGTCTGTAATCCCACCATCCATCAGACCCTTCAGTCTCCGTTTGACTCGACCACTTTTTCAGCGAGAATCTCCTGGAAAGTGGAGAGCTGCTTCATCTGCTCAGTCTGCATGGAGTGTCTCCTCAACAACTTCTTCTTCATCTTGAAGTCCATCCCTCTCTTGGGTGAAGCTGGCGCCACCGGGACCAGAATTTTGTGTCCGGCATGAACTGGGGAGGTGGGCCTTCCGTTGGCTCGAATATCAGGTATGGGCCTCTGGGGGTTAATATTGAGTGGTGGTAGAAAGCCGGGTCTGGTGTGGGAGATGTGGTCCAACAAGAGGGTCCCGGATCCCCTACGCTCCAGAAGTCCAGGGGGACGCCGGCGAAGAGAGTTGGGTGAGACAGAGTTGGGTATGTTCTCCAATGACTCCCTGGAGGAGCTGGTGACCAGGGACAGAGGGGAGGCATTGTACCTCCTCCGCTCCACAGACACACGACCAGAATCTGGAGAACCAGGGATAGACTCTGGACACAGGTGAGTGTCAGACTCGTAGTGCTCCATTCGGGTCAGTTTAGGGTAAGCCAGAGTCCGAGCTGCAACGGGACCTGGGCCAGTTGCATTCTCCTGAGACTCTGGGGCCGTGTTCCTGCGGTACAGGTTCTGGTGCTGTTGGACCTTTTCAGCCCAGGATGCAGAGAGGGCAGTGTAGTCCTCAGAGGAGGACCTGTCGGTGAGTTTGGGGGAGCATGGGTCATGGGTCTCGATGCTGTGTCTGCGGGACAGCAGAGGTCTCGCCGGCTCTGAGATGTAGAGGCCGTTAATCTCTGTCACCGTCTTGTTGACATCGCTGCTACTGTCCTCCTCCTCCAGACCTTTTCTGGTTTCACGGTCTTGAGAAATGCTGCCTAGCACAGAGGGCGCCACCAGACCCCAGGGTTCTGAATTCAGCCTCTTCAGAAGCTTGCGCGGTGGTGGTCTCTTCTCACCCGGAGGTCGAGCGGAGGGTAACGGGAGAGCTGAAGTGAGTGCAAAACTAAAGATTCCTTCCTCAGTCTGGCCCCCTGCTGGTGAGGACGTTCCTATCTCTACCTCTGAGGGGGACATGCAGGCGGGGGACATCTTGTCCACAATGCCTGGGGAAGGTGGAGAGTTGAGGTACTGTTTGGTCTTCTTGGTTCCTGATGGAGACGTGTCACTAGTAATGATAATCACCTCCTTGCCCTTGGCCTTACAGGTGTCCAGCAGCACCTGCAGCGTGTCTCTGTCTCCCTTGTTTATAGCATGAACCAGGGCAGAGGAGCCGGAGTAGTCTTTGAGGCTAGGGTCCGCTCCGTTCTCCAGCAGCAGGGACACCACCTCCTTCCCCGCCTGTTCGGCACAGGCGTGCATCAGCGCGGTCCGTCCACTCTTATCAGGGATGTTTGGGTCGGCACCTTTCTCCAGCAGGTATCGAACCATGCGATGCCGGGTCTGTGGGTCATCGTAGCTTGCCAAGCAGGCGGCCGAAATTGGCGTCTCACCGCGCTCGTTGCCCTCGTTAATGTAGGCTCCGCCTTCCAGCAGCAAACGGGCGAGTCGAAGCTTTCCCTGGAAGACAGCTTTGAGGAGGGCATTACCCTCAGTCTGCAGTGGGCCTCCATCTCCCATGATCCTCCACGTCAGCTTAGACCTCTTGACCACTGCAACTTTGCTGAATGCTGACAACCCACCTGTCACAGGAAGTCACATGACCTGCAGGGAAATGCATTGGTGTTGGTCACAATTAGAAAAAAAAACAAACAACAACAAAACTACATACAGATTGTTGAAGTTGTTTTCACTCTCCTACGTATTGGTTTGAAAATCAGTGATTTAAGCTCACAGAGACAGAAGAGCTGCTGGTCCACCACTGCCCCCTGTGGTCAGTTTGTGTTGCTGAGGGAAATTTAAACAATATTTAAAAGAGCGAAGTCACAAAATAACACATTTGAACTTGGAGTGATGGAGGCAGCAGCTGCTGGACAACTGTGAGCTGAAATCACTGGTCTTCTCTGAGGACACAAAGGGTTAACGAAGGGACTGGAAAGAGTTGGTGATGATAGTGATAGTGATAGTGACAGTGATAGTGATCGTGGTAATGATGATGATGATGATGATGATGAAGAAGCAGTGTGGTGGAATGTCATTCCAGAACAGACATGCAGATTTCCCGGCTTTTACGTCAGTCCGCAGCTCTGACGCAGTGATGTCTATATTTACGCAGTGTGCACTTTATCTTTGTGTGTGTATATATGTGTGTGTACATGTATGTGTAGGTGTGCATGTGTTGCATCAAATGAATGCTGTCCTCGCTGCATCATCACCAAAGTCAAAACATACACATTGACACACACACACACACACATGACTGATGAAGAGGATCTCGTGTCTCATCAAGTCTGTTTTTGTCTTACCGCTGTGCTGCTGAAGAATCTGCTCCTCCAATACACATTGACCTCTCTCTCTCTCCCTCTCTCTCTCTCTCTCTCTCTCTCCCTCTTCCTCTCTGGTACAGACTGTTTACTGACAGAGCTGCTGCGACTGCTGCACTGACGCTCCTCCTCCCCACCCTCTCCTCCTCTTTTTCCTCCTCGTCCCCCTCACAACGTCAGAGCTGCGACAACAGTATCCGCAGACCCCTCCTCGCCCCCCCTCCCTCCCTCCCTCCTCGATGTTTCCCCACAAACTAAAATTCCTTTACTTTGAACTGAACCCACTTCTCCGTTCACCTTGATCAGTCTTCATTACTCATATTTATATTTTACAGTATTCTTAGGACATTAACACAGACAGATCATCTGAACTGACTCCACCTTCACACTGTGCTGCACCTTGACTGCACTACATACAGTGTACTGTACGTACACTGATAATACACCGCGCCTAAACGACACATGACTGTACCTGCCCTTCTTTTATGCATTTACACAACACGTTATGACTCCATTGACATTCACTCAGCACTGAAGCACAAATACTCTGTGTACTCTGCACCTGTACTACACACTATCTACTTTGCATCTGCCCTCAATATACATTAGTCCTGCTCCTATAGTCACTGTTCCTACAATGATGATGATATATATATATGTACATTTATATATACATATATATATGGGAACACACACATATATATACAGTGTATATCTATATCTATATATATTTACATATATATATACATATATATATATATATATATTTATATGTTCCCCTGATTTAATCAGAACATTCCAACTTCATCTGCATCACACCAACCACAGATCCACACCTGTGTGTATGGTAAGGCTGTGGAACAGTGTGGATGCAGCCTGGGTCGTTGGAGCAGCGTCGCTGCGGAGTGGATGTGCTGTGTGTGTGTGTGTGTGTGTGTGAGGAGCAGGCTGTCAGTATTGACTGTCACCGTCACATGTGTAATATTCAGCTGTGAGGTCTGAACCCACATGTCCACTAAACCACCAAGTGGTCCACCCAAACACACACACACACACACACACACACACACACTGACTACCATGGAAACACAGTTTCTATGGCAACTGATGTGCTGGATTCCTGCAGAATAGTTCCCACGATCACTCTCTCTCTCTCTCTCTCTGTCTCTCTCTCCCTCTTACACACACACACACAAGGACAAACACACACAGACAAATTCACTATTTTTATATAAAATGAACAGAATCATTGGTTAACTATAATGAAAATAACTGTTTAATAATAACAGTTGCAGCTGCAGTACCACGCTACAATATCACACCAGTTTACTGCAGTGTTAGAGTGTAAGAACACCTTAACCCAGGTTGAGCCACTTGAGTGGTCCAGTGAGTGGTCCAATGAGTGGTCCAGTGAGTGGTCCAGTGAGTGGTCCAGTGAGTGGTCCAGTGAGTGGTCCAGTGGAGCTTGTCTTGTACCATCCCTGATCGTTTTTAATCACATGTTGAATTTAATTGGCATTAGAACACACTGTCCAGTAATGTCTATGCTGTGGTCTGATGTACATTAAAAAAATAAATCAAACTGACAGAGACAAACAAAAAGGGACAACTTTAGTAAATCATTATCTCTGAACACAATTGTCATGATTTCTTTAAAAAAAACTGCTCCTTGAAACCAAACCATGTCCAGATAAAGATGTTAGATCACTGTGCAGGTCTCTGTGAAAAGTATTCTGTGAAAAATAAGGACAATCAGAGTAGACTGTGATCAACCAACGGTTTGAATTTAGGCCTGGACTGATACTGATACTGATACTTCAAAACTGAAAGAGAGACTGAGACAGATAAGTATGGTGGCGGTTGTGTGTGTGTGTGTAGAAACAGCAACGTTATTATTAATAATTCATACATAATTAATTATTAGTTTTTAATATTTCCAGAAAAGGAAAGGCTCATTAAAAAGCATCATCTAAATCTTCCGCAGTCTCCACCACAGTGGACAGAGAATGGTGACAAAAACTATTGACCCAAAACTGTGTCGTCACTCCGCTTTTATTGTGACGGTGTCTGGGCGGAAGTGAGGATGTTGTTGGCGGAAGGATAGCACACAGAGCTAACAGAGGAGCTAACAGAACCTACCGGGTCTAACCGGGCTAACCGGGTTTACCGGGATAGTCTGACGCTTTTGTGATGGCCGCTGACATCGCTCCAGCGGTAGGGGCTTAACTTTATACTTTCGTTTTATTGAAGCGCTGCATTTTGTGCCGTAAACCTGTATTCGATGAAATGCGTTAGCAACGCTGCAGCTATTTTGTGGCGAACACCTAGTACAGTTTAGGCTAGTTAGTAAAGCAGTGTCGCTAAACGCTGATAAGTTAGTAAGTAACCAAAGGTTATTTATATATATTTATAGTTACATGGAAACAGACGTACTGTTTATACAAACCCTAACTCCTATGAAGAGTTGACACGCTGTGAAAACGGTAAACAAAAACAGAATTACACCGTTCACAGCGTTTACTCCATTGGATACACATCACTCAGGACACATGGTACAGCCTGTTAGCAGAATGTAATATTAAAACATTCTTGTACCAAATGTTTGGCATTTGTTGTTAAATTTAGCTCACTTTTTAACAGAGGCTACTATAAGAAAGGTGTGTTATTAATTAATAATAATAATAATGTTCAGACGCTGTGGTACTAATCACTGATGATGTCCCAGCCTTCTCAGCAGACAGAAGTCAGGCGTCCAGCCCCACACGACATGTGTCCACTTCAGCCCAAGAGTCTGAAGATGGACAGGAGGACCGGGACACAGACAAGACCTTTCGCGGTGAGGATGCCACATCTGGGCAGGACCGCAGGTGTTGAGCCATTCACCAAGGAGATAAGTGAGTCCAGTGATGATGAACTGGGCAGACTGGACATTGACCTGGACAGGAAGTCCAGAGAACACAACCTGACCAGAGGGAATGTTCGTGCCATCCTGCATGTAAGTGTGTCCACCTGTTGTATTTTTTCACATGAACACACACACACATCACACACAGTGTAACCTGTGTCCGTCTTTCTCTCTGTTCAGGAGGTCATCACCCATGAACATGTTGTAGCCATGATGAAAACTGCGATCAGAGAAACTCAAGATCTGCCTTTGTTTGTGAGTCCTAATCTTTCGGTCACACAGTTCGTGTCTGTCTCTCAACATCACGGTTTTTCTCTTATCTTCGTTACCTGTCTGTCTCTCCCTTTAGGAACAAAAAATGACTCGCTCCAGACTCAGAAAAGTTGTCCAGGAAGAACAGGTGAATTCCCATAATCCTCTCTGCTACGTTACATTTGCTCAGTCATTAAAATGAAACTGACTGTTTTTCTGTCCGTCTCTGTCTGCAGCCGTTGAACTTTGGGGAGTTAACATTTATCACAGAAAAGGTAAAATCAGAGTGTCTGTCCCACCGTCCAGTCTGTGTGTCTGACTTCCTGTCTCTCTGACCACCTGTCTGTTTCTTCAGCCTCCCCAGTTTGTGGACATTGAACTTGAAGATGAAGAAGACTCATCAGATGAGGAGTACTGTCCTGATGATGAAGAGTACGAGGAGGAGGAAGAGGATGAAGACATAGCAGAGGAGGTGAATATTTTCTTTGACATTTGAACAAATTCTCATCAGCTGCTGTGACCCCTGACCTCTGTTTTGTTGTTCTTTAGAGGTCACCAGGTCACATGAGCTCCCCCTGTCCTCCTGCTGAGCGCTCCTTCTTAGAAAGGCTGGATGCTGTGGAGGCAGAGATGGACTGTGGTTCCGCCTACTCCTTCAATCAGGTAAAACAAGCCCACGCCCAGTCCAGTGTCCCACTAGCTCCACCCACTCTGCTGACACCTGTCTCTCAGTCTATGGACAGGGACGCTGATGAAGATGAGGAGGACGATGAGAGTGGCGGGAGTGACAGCCTGGCATTCCGCACACGATCCAAACTCCATCTGGTCAACGTTCCTCTGGACAAGCTGGAGGCAGAGCTTCTGGCCCCTGACATCACTGCTGACATGTACGAGCAGCAGGAGGAAGACCGTCACTGGACCAAGTGGCTGCAGGGTCTCATGGCACCTGATAACGAAGGTTGGAGATCAAAATTCAAGTGTTCAATTCACTTTTTTCTTCATCTTTTGTTTGTTTTTTTTCATTATTTTCCAGATGAATTAACTAATCTGTGATATTAGTTAGCGAGTTAGAGCGGTGAGTTTGAGATGGTTGGAACGTGAGCTGAAGGGGGAGAGAGAATATATCAGTTGCCAGTGAAATGAGTTTGAGATGGTTGGAACGTGAGCTAAAGGGAGAGAGAGAATATATCAGTTGCCAGGGAAAGATTTAGTGATGATGCAAAAAAGGACCTGACATTGTTTGTGTAAAGGTATTTGAGGCAGGAGAGGGGGTGAGATGGAGGCAGAAGATCAACTGTTGATCAGAAGAAAATTAAAAAAAAGTTTTCATTGTTTGTGTAAAGTTATTTGAGGCAGAAGATCAACTGTTTAAAAAAAAAAAGTTTTTCACTGTGGACAAACACAAAGTGAGACTTTATTTCTCATCTGTTTTTGTTCATCAGAGGAAGCTGAGGACGACGACGACCCTGAGTACAACTTCCTGGAAGACCTGGATGAGCCGGACCTGGAGGATTACAGGACAGACCGCGCTGTCCAGATCACCAGTAGGTGTCCTCCTTGGAACATTATAGGACAAACGTGGACATTTTCATCACTCTTTGTCATTTCTCGTTTTAGCGAGGGAAGTGAACGAGCTGCTGGACGAGCTGTTTGACACTGTGGGTGGACTCAAACTCATACAGGAAGTGATGTCACTAAACAACATTATCTGACCAGGATATGTTGTGTGTATTCTGCTGCTGATGCATGATCACTCTGCAGCTGCAGGAGGAAAAGGTGGCAGTGAGAGGAGAGGAGCAGCAGGAGGAGCAGCAGGAGACAGAGGAAGAGGAGCATGAAAAAGAGGAGGAACACGAGGAAGAAGAGGTTTCATCACAGACCGTACCTAAATTCAACGTACCCCAGGCTCTACAGTAAGAAAGCAACACAGTGTTCATTAGCTGTCACCACACTGATGACGTCATCACCCCAGTAGTGCACTGGTGGCTCCTCCTGTTGGGATGGTGCAGCAGAGAAGTGCTGTCACTGTTTGGGTCAGGAGGAAGAGAAACGACCGCTGCTGCTGTTACAGCCTTCACAGAATGTGAAGAGGAGTCCAGCAGAGGGCGACATATGACTTCTACTCCAGGTTATATACTATACATTACAAAACCCAGCTGTGGAACCACGCCCCCTTCAGGCGACATACTGTACCTTATTATAAACACTGTCTAGGTACAAACTTTGCCCCCTGCTGGTTATTTGTAGAAATTATTCTACAAACTGAATACAGGTGGGACAGATCTGGTACTATGTGCATGCTTGACAAATATAGTTCTAATATATATCTATATTCAGGACACAAAAACATCACAGGTCAAACTATATGTATATATGTCTGTATATATGTATGAGTCTCTAGACTTTAGTGTCGATTGAAGTTGTTGGTGGATCGTTCAGACAAGTGTAAGTTTTCCCATCACTTTGTCTTTGGCCTTTAGCTTTGAAGCACCATTAGCAGGGATGCTGAGTGAGCGTCGACGCACTTTCAAGAAGCGTTTTGAAGCCCTGCAGAACAGGAGGGCACTGCAGGACACGACCAATAATCACCAGGGGGACAGGAACCTGAAGGACAAACGCAACCCACAGCACAGCTCCTCTACACCTATCGTGGTGAGCCAGAGCCCAGTGTGCACCACCCTCTACCTGAACATCAACCAGAAACTGCAGCTGCAGCAGCAAATGCAACAGGTAAATATAAAACGCACATTCACTGCCTATTTACAAGTCACATGTGACTGACTAGCTCTGTGCCCATTAGCATGTGCAGCTGCTAACACAGGTTCACCTGCTGAGTCGCTACGTCAGTGCCCTGTGCAACGAGGCCCACATCACTAAACAGTACCTGGTGAGTTTCTAATACCAAAACAGTTAGCAGTCAGAACGTTTTTATCCTACTCCAAAACTGTCTCAGCGAACATTTTCTCCTTCCTGCCTGTAGGAGGAGTTGCGTCAATTTGCGGTTCTTCGGGAGGAAATGTTTCGTCCCAGCAGTTTCAGAACGTGTAACCTCCAGGGGTCGATGTCGCTGCTGCAGTCGGTGGACCAGAGGTCAGAGCAGAAGGCGGGGCCTCCTGCAGCTCCTGCCCCCTTCAGACGCTGGCTCCCGTCCATGACAGCCACTTCCAAGAGTGAGGGAATGTGTCTGCCGACCGCTGGGCTCGGCTG